ACTTTCACTATTCACCAGATTTTTCGGGACAACCTGGACGATATTTTCGTGGTGAACATGTTGGCTGAATGATCTCACGCGCCATTAAGATTAATAACGTATGCGCCCAAGATGGCTGCAACGTGTTACTTTGTTCTCATCATATTAGGTTTTTTTATTTGTTTTCCTACTCTCTTTCGATCATCATTTATCAATTTTTCGGTTTATGAGAGTCCTCTTACTTTATTGCTGAGATGTCATGGTCCTCCTCGCGCAGTTAGATTGGTGGATGGAAGAAACAAACTTAGGCGCTCGATTTGTACTTGGTGCAAACGTGGTCACTTGACGCTTGGTCTGCCTACAAAATTTGACCTTACTATCTTCGTGGACGTTGAATCTAATCCTGGTCCAACATCCCCTCGGATGGTGGGGATACATAAAGAACAAAACGCCTATCTGGGATATGAGTTCTCTGCGTTTTCGACTGCAACGAAATCGATGAATTGGCTTAATCACAATTTACAACACACTTCTCCATTAGTGCCTTTTGTTCGTCGTACTCAGAGCTTCTGCTACAACTGGAATCTCCCATGTAGTTTACTTCCTCTGGGCAAAAATTGTCAAAGAAAGTTTAGAGGTTGCAGAGCGGGAAAAATAGTTCAAGAAAAGCGGCGACGCTTGAATTATATTCGAGCTTTGGTCTCACCCCAAGGCTGTCGATTAAATTCTTCACGATTTACATGCATGATGAAGACTCCTGTTGGATCGAATCTTAGAAATTTAATTGAACTTACTCCTAACCCGATTAAAAGCTACACACCAAGGGCTCGCTTCGTGAATTTTTGCTTGCTAAATGCTCGTTCAATTAACAACGAGACTACTATCATCAAGGACTTTGTCGTCGAAAATAATATTGATCTTCTTGGCTTGACAGAAACATGGCTTCAATCAGATGCTGACAACGAATTAATTATTCGTGATTTATGTCCTTCAGGTTATTCATTTCATCATGTTCCTAGACCTGGTTCTACTCGTGGAGGAGGAGTTGGCTTGTTATTTCGATCATCTTTCAACTCAAAGTTGCAGCCGCTCAAGAAGTTTTTGTCCTTTGAATATATGGATTTGTTATTGTCAAGTACAGTCGGTTTAAAACTCAGAGTTATTATTGTTTATCGCCCACCTCCCTCGACCTTGAATGGTTTAACACCCTCATTGTTCCTTGATGAGTTTTCTACGTTCCTGGAGCACTATATCGCTGATCCTGGTGGAATATTATTAGTTGGTGATTTTAATATACATGTTGACACCTGTTCTTCCCAACACTCAACTGAATTTCTTCAATTGTTGGATTCTTTCAATCTTACTCAACATACACATGGCTCAACGCATAAAGATCGACACACCTTAGATCTTGTGATTACAAGATCTGATGATAGTATTGTTTCAAATTTAACAATTGGTTCTCCTTTTGTCATCTCTGATCATGCTGCTGTTCACTTCCAGCTCTCGCTTAATAAGCCGCCGCTCGACAAGAAGATTATTTCATTCAGAAAGCTTCGATCTATTGATTTTGATAATTTCTGTGCTGATGTTATGAATTCGAGCCTTCCTGATCTTTTTGCCTCGTCATCGTCATCCTTGGATTATTTGATTGATCAATATAACAGAGTCCTTACTACCATACTTGAGACTCATGCTCCACTGCAAAAAAAGTTAGTTACTTTGCGTCCCGCTGCACCTTGGTATTCTGAGGAGATAAATAATTTAAAGAGATCCCGTAGAAAACTTGAACGACGCTGGCGAATGACAAAACTTCCTTCTGATCGTAAGTTGTTTATTGAGGGATGTGATGCTGTCAACAACTTAATTCGTGATTCCAAGAAGAATTATTTCGCATCATTAATCAATGAGAATCAGTCAAATTATAAACAGCTTTTTAAGATAATTGATAAACTACTACAAAGGAAAACAGATATTCAATATCCCCCCTGCAAATCGCCCACTGATCTTGCTAACAAGTTTATTAAGTACTTCACTACAAAGATAGATAGAATACGGGGTCATATAACGACTGCTGCTTTCCCTCATCGAGATACAGTTGCTGTTGTTGACAACGCCTGTCCATATTCTTTTGATATTTTCAAAATGGTAACAGCGGATGAAGTTCATACATGTATCATGAATCTGGCTGCTAAGTCATGTGCTCTTGATCCTCTTCCTGGTTATGTTACAAGAAATGCACTTAGTGTTCTGTTGCCTTTCATTTCCAAAATCATAAATATCTCATTGGAATCTGGTCAGATGCCTTCGCAACTCAAGGTTGCAATGTTACGCCCGCTCCTCAAGAAATCTTCTTTGGATCATACTCAATTCTGCAATTATCGTCCGGTATCGAATCTTTCATTTATTAGCAAAGCAATTGAAAAATTGGTAGCTAATCAACTTATCTCCTACATTAACGATTATGAGTTAAATGAGACATTCCAGTCGGCGTACAAGAAATATCACAGTGCTGAAACTGCACTTATTCGTGTTCACAATGATATTCTTTCTGCCATTGATAATCGTCGAATCGTAATTTTGCTGTTGTTAGACCTTTCCGCTGCCTTCGATACAGTCGATCATACCATCCTCCTCTCTCGTTTACGTGTACGGTTTGGGATAGCTGGGAAGCCTCTATTATGGTTGCAATCTTATTTATCGAATCGCACGCAATATGTCTCCGTTGATGGTGGTACTTCGACGAAACATGACCTTAAATGTGGAGTGCCACAAGGATCTGTCTTGGGACCCATTTTGTATTTGCTTTATACTTCACCGCTTTCAGATATCGTAAAGAAATTTAACCTGAGCTATCATTTTTATGCTGACGACTCACAGCTTTACTTGTCTTTCCAACCAACCGTAGTGGGTGATAGGGATCTAGCGGTTTCTAGCATCGAGAGCTGTGTGGATGAAATCAGTCATTGGATGATGGTTAATCGTCTTAGATTAAATAAAGACAAAACTGAATTATTGGTAATTTCCGCTAAACATCTTCCAAGACCACTCCTTCACGAAATTTCAGTTGCTGGTGAGACTATTCCTTCCGTGCAAAAGGCGAGGAATATCGGCACTATGTTCGACAGCCATTTTTGCTTTAAGGATCATATTACTGACATTTGTAAATCTTCATTTTATCATTTGCGAAATATTAGCTATATCAGGAAATATCTTTCAGCGACCACTACTGAATTGCTGGTTCATATGTTTGTATCTTCGAAGCTGGATTACTGTAATTCCCTTTTGTATGGCCTACCAGCCTACGCTATAAAAAGGCTACAACACGTCCAGAATGCCGCGGCGCGCCTCGTCACACTTACAAAAAAGCATGATCACATTACGCCTGTTCTTTTCAATCTTCATTGGCTTCCCGTTAACCAACGTATTATTTTTAAGATTTTACTTATAACCTACAAGGCACTTAACAACCTGGCACCGTCGTACATTTGTGATCTGCTTACATCTTACACCCCATCGCGTCAACTACGCTCATCATTCAAGCACCTTCTGGTTTCTCCATCCTATAACTTGAAAACATATGGCGCAAGATCCTTTTCTGTAGCAGCACCATCATTATGGAATGCTTTGCCAAGTGAAATTAGAAATGCTCAGTCTGTGTCTGTTTTTAAACGTAGATTAAAAACTTTACTCTTTAGAAAAGCCTTTTATAATTAATATTAGCTGTCTTAAGTGTTAATGTTTAAGTTTTTTTTTCTTGTAGGCGCCTTTGAACAGTAGGATACTGGCGCGGTATAAATCTTTTATTATTATTATTATTATTATTATTATCATTATTATTATTATAACGACAAGGCGTTCCTTTTACTTGTAGGTTCTGGGAACTAATTAGACTGAGTGGTTTGTGATCGTGAATGTAAAAAGGCCAAAGGTAAGTTTCTAAGGAAAAAGTGGTGCTGCGTCGGTGGGAGAGTATAACAAGATAATTTTGGTATTATCAACTGAATTGATAACGTAAAGTTGTGACCGCAGAGAGTTTCAAAGCTGACGTTTCGAGCGCTAGCCCTTCGTCAGAGCAAATGAAAGTTTGTGAAGATGGGTCCGCTGGACTTGCGCATTCAATTTATGGAACATGAATATGAAGCCCGTTTGATCGGAAAATACCACGATGCCATGATAATCAATACATGATCCTGAGCATCAGGGATAAAGCATAACTAGAAGCAAGGGTTATGCACAATCATAAGCAAATTTCGTTTTTGAAAGCTTGTTTGCGGATTTTTCCATCCATCGCCAATTCCATGACATTTGACCCAGATGTTTTGCAAAATTTTCTAATCTCTTTCGTGAAAGTATGGGAAAAAAACTCCATACACTAATAGATACTAATAAAACTTATCAGAGATTATCGTCTTCAGTTTTACAGGCTTAGGATATCGAGATCACGACTTCATAGTAAACTTAGCCTTTTATTTTTGACATTACACAGACGAATACACAAACATAGCAACGCCCATGGGCAATAAGAAGTAAATCCTGTGTTTTGATTGGCTACCCGAGCCCATTTTGTCCGCTCGGGTTGCCCGCTTTGATCTTGTGCAAGAAAAAAATTGAATCGAGTACTAACTTCGTGATTCTTGGACAATGTTGGCGACGGAAACGCAAAAGCTGCAGAAGACAGTCAAAACAAAGAATTATAAACGAATTTCGTAGGTTAATTGTGCTACACACACAGTTGGCTTTCTATCCCGGCTCTCGAAGTAAACAAGTCATTCTTGATTCATTCAATCCTTTATTGACCAAGCAAAATGGCTGGGTATTAGCCTCGGTCTTTTTATGCATTTTTATGGACCTCGACTTCGTCTTCGTCCATAAAAATGCAAATAAAGAACTCGCCAATATCCAGTCATCATTCGCTTGGTCAATATCGCATTTGTACAGTACTCAGTCCCGTTAACTCCAGCGGCAGTAAAATTACTACGATGTACGTCTTTAAATTCAGGATAACTTCTTCACCAAAACAAGCGTAATCGATCGCCCGATTGGAAAATACATTCGATGCGTTGGATTTTAAAAGTACCCTACCATAGAAGTATTACGAAGCAAGGTATGTTTATATTCTATGTTAGTAAATAACGCGGCTAATCGTCTCGTTTACAGCATGACCCGAAAACCAACAAAAAGAAAATCCGAAAATTCACTTTTTCAGAAAGTTTTCTGTGGTTCAAATTTACTGATATCAAGATCATTAAACCTTTTCTAACCTCTTCAGGCACTTGTATCAGTAACTCAAACCATCCGAAAATTGTTCTGATCGGCATAAACTGAAACGAAAATACTTCGGCTGAAGTACCCAATACTTTTTTGAATATTGAATATTCAACGTCAATCGGCCCTACAACTTTGATTTTAGCCGCTCGGATTTTAATTTGCGTTAGCTTCAAAGTTTTCTTTCAAATCAGATAACTTTTCATCGAAATTGATACGTACATACTGTTGAGAGAAAAATTATGTATTTTTTGAGTTTTTGGATAATTTTAAGCATTTTTGCGGTCGCGCAGTTTGAGTTATATTTATGAAGCTTTTTCGATGGCAAAGTTGAGTACACTAGAGGTCAAACCAAAACGCTGTCTAATCCTTGACGACCGTAGCAAGTTGGCAGCAGTCTCCGTGTACCAAGAAACCGTGACGAGTTTCTGTTCCCGCTGCAAGTCGGTCTCTACTGAACTATTTTGCCCCCGTTATTGTTGCGCTCCCCGCAAGAGTCCAGTTAGGAGTTAGTGCGAAAAACCTATCGCCACAGTATGTAATCTACCCATACATTGCCAAGGAACACAAGTTCAAATGGATTCAAGGGCTATGTTGCAATTATGTCCAGAGTAAAGAATATGATTCTATTAAAGTTTTCAGCGACAGCATCAGAGATTTCACCGAAGCGACTTCCATGCCAAATGTTATAGTGTCTATCCTCTTAATTCAATGGTTTTATGACTCAAAAGTGTTCAAACAACGACCATATTAATTTAGTTTCAACAGATGAAAACTGAAACTATATCAATATTCTTTCAGCTTTAAATCAAACAAGCTCCTCTACCTGATCTTTTAATGCTACAAGTCGTGTTCATTTTCACTCTCAAACTAAATGATACAATCCCATACAATTAGCAGTACATTTCCATACTTATAATTGCACTCATTTCGTCAAAAAATATATACCATGGAAAATGAAAAATAGTAAAAGAATAAAAACTGCATTCTCAAGATCGTACCAGTTCTCACATTTCTCCTTCACGTTAAAGCTCAACAAAATTCCCCGCATCTCACTGTACGAGATTGAAAAAAGTTTTCCTTATTCTAGGATAAAGAAAAACATTTTATGCCCATTTAGTTTCCACAGGCTTTCGTTGTTTTTTACTTTATGGTTATTGTAATCTTGAGTAAATTCTCCACCAACCGAGTCAGTACTAGTAATGACGCCGAAAAATTCACAATTGTCTGAAGTCAAACACCTCTCTTTTACTTGTTTCCCCTCGCTTTACATTGACAAGCCTAAAAGATCATTTTACGCTTCCCAGGTGATATTTTCAGTAAAGATGCTTTATCAAGCTATACTGAAACCATGGAAAATCACTAGACGTTTTAGAAATAACAACAAAAGGAAGTAGTCAAGAGTAATTTCATGAAAAGAATGACGACAGAATTTAGGACCACACCGTGAAATGTTAAATAACAAAAATTTTCAGTGTTCACAACAAATTTAATATGCATATTACATTAAATCTGTCTTTTTTAACATTTCTGAAACAGACAAGATTTTGATATTACTTTGACTTCAGTTGATACACTGACGAAAAGTTAAAAGGATTTTCAAATGAGAGTTGAAGATGCAGAGCAAGCTAAGTGCAAACCAGTCCAAGAGTTATTCGCTTTGATTTATCTCACTCTACAGAAACTGGGTCAGAAAAATACCGCAACCTTAGCTTTTTAGATATAAACGAGCTGCATCTTCAATTTAAACTTTTTCCACAATTTGTCCAAAAAATGTTTTTTTTGCGCTCCTAAATTATACCGGCTGCTAATATTTGGCTGCCATTGTCGACTGGCTTTTGTTCAATTTGTGATGGCTTTATGAAAAGTATCTTTTAAAATTCCCTACTCAAGTATTTTCCTGTATAACTATCTTTCTTCTCAAATTCTGTAGGTAATTGATCTGAAGCCACGATGAGGAAATTGACGAGATGTAGGATACTCCGCGATGAAAGTTTGACTCGGAGAAAACTGATCCTGTTTCTTGGCGCGATCATATTCACCATTTATTTGCTTGTCCAAAGAAATGAAGGAACAGCGGACCATCAACAGACAGGAGGGACGCCAATTTCAGGTACTACTCGTTAATTTAGTGCTTATATCAGTCAGCTGAGGAAGTGAAAGGTGTAAACAATTAGAATATGACGTTGCTAATTCTCTTCCTTTAGAGCGTAATTCTCTTACCCAGAGCTTCGGCGACCAATTGGTTGTCAATTACAATAAAACGGCAGGATCTGGGTAAGAGATTAGTTTGGACTGCTAAAGAATTCAAATGATACAAAGGACCACAAAAGATTTCATAAAAATGCAATTTCTTGTTTCAAAATATTTATCTCATCACTGCCGATACCTTGACATTTTCTACCCTTATTTAATTGTATTCTTTTAGGAATCTGGCGTTCTTTGTATCCATTTCATGCCAATGACAGTCTAAGGGGCGAAAGTTTACCACTTGGACAGATGCCAACATATGAACAACGTAAAGAGGCAAGATGCGGTCATAACTGGCAGAAAAGTTATATAAAACTACACCAGGACATTCTTCAGGCACGGCGCCCACAAAAGTTTATCGTGTTCACGTGCAAAGAAGAGGGATACGAGTGCGCGGGTTATGGAAATAGACTTGGAGGAGTTACTTCACTTTTATTTCTCTCTATCTTGACACAAAGAGCACTTTTAATAGACTGGGATCATGGAGCCCCGCTTGAACGTTTCCTTGTCCCAAAAGGTGTTCAGTGGAACTATTCTATGGAGAATTTAAAACATTTCGACTCAAGGATACATTTTTTAGGAAAAAAAGAACATTTCAAGAAGACTCGAAGTGATGTTTTGAAGCCGTGGAAAACAAAACTAGATTTTCAAGCGTGGCTGCGGCAGGCAGACCTCTCATCGTATTTCGATCACCCCGTTGAGAAGATTGTCAGCAATTGGAATTTTGCAAACGCCTTGTTGGAAAAGCCTTTCCTTGAGAAAAACGTAAATGAATCGCTAAGAAAAACCAACAACTCCTTGGTAGGGTGTGCTTTCGATTTCCTTTTTCTCAAGTCTAAAGAGCTAGAAATCAGGCTAAGCACAGCTAGACACTCACTCGGTCTCACAAACAAAGTTTTAAAAGTGGGAATTCATATAAGAATGGGCGATGTGGCTCTCCACAGAGGTTCAAACTCCAACAACCTTAATTACAGGGCCTTTTTCTGTTGCGCACAAAATCTTAGAGACGCTCTGGCGCAGCAGACAAGAGGTTTTCAAGGAGACATCAAATTGTTTCTAGCAACAGATGATAAAGATGTCAAACAATACGCACTCATAAACTATGCTTCAGATGTAGTTACTTTGGACATAACCCCGCATCACATAAAATCACTCCAAGGAAGGAAGCATCGACACTCAGAGCCAGTGGAGGGTATTTTCAATGTCATGTTGGACCATTTTCTGTTATCTGAATGTGATTTCCTTATTTTGTCAAAGAGTACTTTTGGTCGCACTGCGGCTGAGTTGAAGTTCCATCCCTCACAAACAGTTAGGTTCGGACATAAGATTATGCACTCAAATGATCACTGCGGCCGAGTTGAAGTTCCATCCCGCACAAACAGTTACGTTCGGACGTAAGATTATGCACTCAAATGATCACTGCGGCCGAGTTGAAGTTCCGTCCCGCACTAACAGTTACGTTCGGACATAAGATTATGCACTCAAATGATCACTGCGGCCGGGTTGAAGTTCCGTTCCGCACTAACAGTTACGTTCGGACATAAGATTATGCATTCAAATGATCACTGCGGCCGAGTTGAAGTTCCGTCCCGCACTAACAGTTACGTTCGGACATAAGATTATGCATTTAAATTATCACTGCGGCCGAGTTGAAGTTCCGCCCCGCACTAACAGTTACGTTCGGACATAAGATTATGCACTCAAATGATCACTGCGGCCTAGTTGAAGTTCCATCCCGCTCAAACAGTTACTTTCGGACATAAGACTATGCACTCAATTGATCAGATGAAATGTCAATCCTAAAACAGATGACTTTGCATCCATTGCTGGCTATCCTATGTCTCCCTCCCTCTTATGGTTACTGATTTCTCTCCTTCACTCCCTTTGAATTACCATTCAAATTTACAGTGTCAGCGCATCATTAATCAAAATTCTCGAACGTGATTGGTCATCACCAGACCGATCTGAGCACTAAAAATACAGGGTACGCGTCATGCTTGTAATAGGACAGTGTAAGAGGACAGTTGAAGTGACAGTTAACACGTCATGTCTGCATGTAAGTGGACAGGACGCGTCATTTGCGCGCGCTATCGTCGCGCCTTTTGCCAAGTTAGCTGTTTCTTTTTTTGTTGTTGTTGTCAAAACGTATAATCGATGTCTATTTTTTTCTTTGAATTTTGTCATAACTTTAATTAATTGGTAACAGGAATTCGTGTCGTCCAATTCTGTCTGTAATCATACTCGTCATAAACAAATCGGACTCCCGGTACATTAGCTCAGTTAGGAATAACCCGTTTCAAGCCCTCAGACCAGGGCAGCGGGTGAAATAACTGTCGTAGGACTGTGGCGGCGAATGTGGTTATTAAGGAAACAGCTTTGTGTTACCTTATTTTTTCTCTTTGCGTGATCCTACCTGGTAATTCCTTCTTCTCCTCTGACTGAGGGTCTGGTAAGGGGCGGGGAATTAACCAATGTCTTTATGGTTTATTTTTCAAAACTACATTGCACTGATAAAGAGGAACTAGGGTTTCAAGAATTCAGAGACTGAGTAGATGTATGAAATTAATATTTTGGTAGCATTAGACTGCGCGCATGGGATATGCCATTTATATATTTCATGAGTGAAAACAACAAGAAAACAGACTAAAGAGAAGGTGGCTGAAACTAACATATATTGTCTTTTATACAAACAACACGAACCTTGAGATGATGCCAAAAAAACAAAACAACGACAACAAAGCAAAACGAAAACAGAAAACAACAGCTGATGTATTCCACAAAAATCATGAAACTTTAGATGGCGCTAAAAAAAGGTAAAAGGAAAAAAAGGAAGACGAAGAGATAGTGCAATTCGAGTACAGGTCGCCTGACTTAAGAGAGAAGAGAGCTAGAGACTGGGACAAAAAACAAAAAAACAAAAAAACGAAATTCACTCGGTTGATTATTTATTTTTCTGACAATATTTTCACATTTTTCATTCCAATTTCAAAATATACAATACTTTCATTCATTAAAATAAATAGTCAGAGAAAGCTGGAATGTGGTGGCATCGGCCAATTTTTAAATGTAATTTAGTATTAACTTAGGTGATAATACTAAATTACCCTGTTATACTCTTCCACCGATGCAGCGGAAACTTACCCCCTCCGTTCAATGTTGAAATGGTCATGTACGTAATACACACAAAAGACGTTTCTTTCATTCGGAAAGAATAACGAGGAAGAGAACACGAAGGCAGACGAGAACAAAGAGATGATACTTGTCTTTGACAGATGCTCTTGACATAACTTACTTCAAAATATATTTTTAGTCTTCTTCAAACGGAAGAACTCGTTAACTTGTGAAACTTCGAAAATGTAAAATTTTAAGAAGATTTTGAAACAATCAAACTATTTTAAAAATACAATATGAAGACATTTTTTGATGAAAATTAGATCGATTGATAATTTTTTTGTCACATGAAAATCTATCTTCTTTTATACCGACACTTTTCACCGAATGTACTATGAACTAACGAATGAAAATTCATCCCGAGAGCCGTTTTGCTGAAGCTGCTGTCTGACAGCACAAGAAAGTCACTCTCGGACAGAAGGGTGTGGTCAAGAAGAACTCCTGTCATCCCCTCCGTGGAAGGGTTTCGGGTATTGATGTGCTCTACTTTCACCGCGAGAGAAACAACTTTGTTGGGGTAGGTCCGCAACGCGTATTTCTTCACCTCGGTGCTGTCTGTGGCCAAAAACCACTTAATATCCTCGCGGTGGATTTTTTTGTTCGATTTTATTATTTCACTCTCCAACATCTTCGCACACATGAAAAGGCTCTCAGAGTTGGTGGTCCTTTGATCCCAAGATTTTGACAACAAAGATGAGTCTCCCATTCGAATGTGAATACCGATTCTAGGCACGTCTGCTTTGAAATGAAGCGACTCACGAGCAGCGGACAGAGTTTTTTCAAAGTTAGGCGTCCTTTCGAATAAAAAATCAAACGCACAACCCACTAGAGAGAAGCGATGGCCTCGTGCGTTCACACCGAGTTTGTCAGCCATGCGTCCAGCAAACTTATACTCTCGAAAACTTGACGCAAAGTACCATAAGCTTGTGACGACCTCCACAGGAGAGTCGAAATATTTGTTAAGGTTCGTACCCTCGATCCATTCGCGGAAGACATCGTATGTTTCTGCAGATCTTTGTGATTCTTTGATCACTTTTTCATGTTCTCCTTTCCCCCAGTAATGATAGTTTCTCTTTAAATTTTTAAGTTTTGAAGTAGGGTAATTCCACTGAATGTTCTTGGGTTGAAGATAATCCGTAATAGGAACAGTGCTGTTCCAATCTATTAGGAATGCACGCCCCGTTATAACAGCTACATAAAACAGGGATGTTATGGCTCCAAGTCGATTTCCATACCCGCCACAACCGTACTTATTTCCCCCACAAGAGTAAATAAGATATTTGGGTGGTTTACGGTTGTTTAAAATGTCATCGTGAAGTTGCGTATATTCTTCTTGCCATTCTGTACCACAAAGAAGCGCCTTCTGCTTCTTTTGTATCTCTGAGAGGTCTTTGTCGCTCCCGAATGAGCTCAGCTCTCGACCGAGTTTAGGTGCCTTTTTTTGTGGTCTAACGGATTCACCGCCACCCAAGTCAATGCTGTTAGCTGCAATGTCCGGCGGAATGTAGGTTGGTAAGCGAGTTCCTGGAAAAAAGTCATAAATTAGTTTTCAATCGACTGTCAAAAAACCCAAAGTAATCAAAGCAGCCAATCAGAACGAATGTTTACCTCATGTCAGCCGATAAGAACTCAAACTGAAAAAAAAAAAAAAAAAAAAAAAAAGCAAACTATCCAAAGCGCGGGAAAATGCGGGTGACCAAGTCATGATTGGTTAGGAGTATGGCACGAGTTTTCCCTACCAATCACAGAGCAAAGTAAAGAAAAAACAAAGTAACCCTAGAATTTTGGCCCTCTTACAAGTTGCTTTGTTCTCGAATGTGTGGAAAGATTACTGAGTGCAGAATCCTCAGTAAACAGAATAGGAGAGATGGGAAGTTTTGAAGCTCCATAGTCGAATAACGTTATAATCATGTATTCCTTACCTTGCTTTGCTACCCAAACGACGTCTTTTTGGGAGGCTACGAGGAACACAGAACAAACTGCTACAAGAAGCAACAATACTCGCAATCTCTGGGCATGCCGAAGTAATCGTTTCATCTTCCAGCAGCATGCAACACAGATGACACCGTAGACTCTGCAAATAGAAGTAAAATTAGTCAAGGGCCTTTATCAAGGTTAATAGATTTTAAAATAAGTTACTGTTTTAATTGTCTTCGTCCTTGACCTTCTTTTTTTTTATTCCTGACAGGTTTAGGGGAATTAAAAGCCGTTCGATTTTTTAGACTTAACTTGATTATTGCGAGAGAGGCTTATCTCTTCGCATTATTTGAAATATCTTTCTTAAATCCTCTGCAACACACAACTAATTCACGCAATTCGGACATGCTGGCGATGCATTGTCTTGACTTCCCTCTAAGCTCTTCCGCCCCAAATCTAGTTGAGTAGTTTCAACAACATTCCGTTCAGCTCATTACAAATAGGATCACACACGAAAACGTATGCTTTTCATAGTCTCCTGAAATGAAGAACAAATTGAGAACAAAACCTGAAAACTTTTTTTGTTTGATTCTAGCGCATGCTTTTAGATAACCTCAACTCTGAAAACGTGGTGTGCGACGTGATGATATCAAATGAGATTGTTTCATTCCACGGCAAAAATTTTAGTTTTGTGGTTAGGATATAAACAAAGCAAATAAAAACAATTACATCACTAATCTCAACCAGAGTGACAGAATAAAGATCATAATCGTCATCAAGCAGGGATTGTAAATTTGCCAGGGATACCAGGCTTCGATGCTAATACGTGAAGGCGATTTTAACAATGTGGTAATGCTATGACAAGATTTTCGCGATAACATTAGGATCGCAAATAACTGTGTGCCATAAGAAACGATAGCTTTATCTTTCAAAAATGTTATGATCAAACAGTTCGCACTTTGGAAACGGACGTAAAGCTCTCTACGACTAAAATGTTACCTTTGAACACAAAACGACCTCACACACACTCAGCGATGGTTCTTGTCACCGTTACTCAGCAGTTATTTTGAGATTGTCCTGTATCTCCTCGAATTAAGAAGTGCTAAGGAGATTTTGCAGGCAAGGGTATTTGAAGAATTGTAACAGGAAACACGGAAGGAAACTACAGTTTAGCCCATTCCCCTCAAGCTGTTTCCTATGGCGATATTCTGTTAAACCACCTTGATTTGTTTAAGTCACAAGATTTTCAAACTTCAGCACTGGCCGTTGTCTGTAAAAGCATTTCCTTGAAGATACGTCTTTTTATAAAGAAGAGCGCAGTCAACTGTCTCTAGTGACGCGGGACTTGTTTGTTTCTAATGAAAACAAACCTTAAAGGCAGGCGTCGCAACAGGATGAAAAAAAAAACAAACAGTTCTCGACGTGTGCCCTTCAGATCACGCACGTATTATTTGATGAAATAGTTCCGCTGTTACTGTAGTCAAGTATTTCGACGACCGCAGCGCTGATCTGTACACCGCTAATTTTTCATTCTTTCTTAAAAAGAGTGATGATTTCAGCCCACGAAGATCGTGGCTTGATAGGTTATGGTGAAAGATGTATACATGCTGTGAAGAATTCTCTTTCTCACAGGCACAGCTCGGCGTGTTCAGAGCTCAATGAGTTAATTATCGGTTGCTCACTCATTCGTGAAGACTAATTCAAGTCCTAAAAAGGTTTGTAGGAAGTTATAAATCTATAGGACACTTCAAAATTCTAATAGTTCTCATATTTTGCGACACAGTGCTCAAAGTAGCCTTAACAAAGGAAGCATAATCTACCCAGAATCGCAAATTCAATACCTGACTTTTAGAGCTCTTATTGTCAGTTTTGTGGGTCAATTAAACATCAATCTACAAAGCATTCGCCTACTTCCAAACCACTAATGACACGACTTTCCAACGCGACGTCGGGATACAGAGCGTAAAATTGCGTGTCTCAATTGTTTGTATCCCAGCTGGTCAATGTTCTTTGAGGCGCTGTACACGCTAAGAATGCAAATTCTCGCTCAAAAATTACCGAGAATACATTACCAAAGTTATTCCGGCTTGGCCTCCCGGTGAAACAGCGGGAGAACCGAAATGAAATCTTTCATTCTTTTAGGCAAAGCAGTTTAGGTTTCTCCTGGAGTAGCCATGTTTGCTTTTCCACCTGGTTCGATAGACAAAATTTCGAACAATAACTTAATCTTCGGCTAATACCATGAAGAGATTTACAGCCCCAAGGTGACAATAAACAGAGATCAATGTCTAAAATCTGCCATCAATCATATCATTGACCGAAGGTCAAACATTACGATTGTTCTTAATAAAAACACGGCCACATTTGTAAAAAAAAATATATACTTGACTAGACTTGTGACGAGGAAAAACACTTACCGAAACATATCAAGAAAGAGAACACAACAAACTCAGATTTCTTTTTACTAGAAAATGAGGGAAATTTGAAGAGGCAAGCAGAGAGAAATTTTAAAGCTCCTTCATGCAGCGGAAAATCGTTCCCACAAAAAAAAAAGTCGTTGCAAAGAGGGGAAGGAAATAGCCTAAAGACTTTTTTTAATGTTACTCGAATGTCATTGAAAATTCCAGTATCTTCGCTATGGTCTGCCTAACAGCGGGAACAGTGGGGAAATTCATCTTTTTTATGATCAAAGAAATTTAAGGAGGGCCTGTGCTCTCACACTGCACTCTGCCACGTGGAAGACATCACGATTTTTCCACGGCAACGGCTTCTCATATATCGGACACGATAATACGGTGGAATAACATGACAATATAATTTGACTAAATCCAATTTACTTTTACAGTAAATAAAATAACATTGTTGTTTCAGTTTTGTCAACAAAGCCTCGTGTATAAATTGAAGAGGAAGAAAGATCAATTCACTAGAATTAGTTTTAACTTATAATTCAAAAGCCTGTTTTTCACAGCAAATACGCGTTCCTTGATTTTTTATCGCGCTTGATACTTCGTTCTAACGGTAGAGGTATCACATGATAAACTCACTGAGAACACTTGAATGTGAGACTGCTTTACGAGGAGTTATTTTGACCAGCATTGCAGACAGAACGTTTCTTTAATCAATTCAAACACGAACTACCGCGCCAACAAAAAATGGAGACTATTCCCATTCTTCCTCGGTCTGGCTATTTGCGCCTAATTTCCAGCCAACGCAATGAACCAACCTATATAGACTCGTGCATCTCGAAAGAATCGGCCTTAACTCTTGAGGGTTGTTTTGCAATCCCATGTTGCTCTGAGTCATTTTAACCATTTCTGCACCTTAAGAAAGGCCTCTTGTTCTTACTGGTTCCTCTATATTGTGGCTTATCATTCTTAGTTACCCCTCACAGGTTTGTCTCGCCTACCAAACCACAATTTTTAAGTTGTATTTCACTTGACGTAAATTTTCTGTGATGTCGAACTGAATTAAACTTGTAATGACTAACGTGACGAGAAGTCGTTAAACTTGATGGTGATATAGCAGGTTTTCTGGATTCTCTCTCCGTAGAGATTTTTGATGACAGAAAGCAGTAAGAGAAAAAAACCCAGTACTACTGCTTTCGCAATTTGGTTATGGGAGACACACCAACAGTAGCCTCAGCCGTTCTGCACACTAATTTTGCGGAGACGAGCGAAGCAACTCCACGAAGGGGAGAAAAAGCAGGGTAACACAAGTCCTTCCTACACCTCACCCCACCTTCATTCGCCGGGTTCTTCGCTCGTCTCCACGAGCGCAGACTTCGCGAAAGGTAAACGGCAAGAATAGGTGATCATTTCACATCTGCCTCTCAATCATGTATAATCGTACCTGCTATAAATTTATCATTTTATAAGTTAATATTAGATCTAGTTAAGGATGAGAGGAAATGTTCAATAATATGGAAATCTGTGCAATTGCTGTAAATAGGAGGTTTTTACATTTTATGCAGGAAATTGCTTTAAGAATTTTAAGAGACAAGAGCGAAATTAGAACTCAAGTAAAGTTTGCCGTTCTTTTCTGCGGTAGAAGTGATTTCAAATCTCTCGATTATTTCAGTGGGTTTTTGGTGCCAGAAAGGTTTAGGAAACAAGAAATTCAGGAGTTTTACTGTGCTTCAATGATTTGCATCACAGATGATAAGTTCGGAGATACATGAGTACCCGGTATTGGAAGCACTATAGACACTATACAAAACAGATCTCATTCCGTTTTCACGATCAAAACAGTGACAATTAGAGTATATACCCAGCACACGCCAATTATAAGAGTCTCTGTGCGCCGATGCGACCATGACATTGACCAAACGGTAATCAAAGAACATAATTAAAGGCCTTCATATCAATTCATTAACAGAAAGAACGTTGTACATAAACTGTCTATAAGCCAACAACGCATCAGTTTTCATTACCCGACTGATAGTTGCTCACAGATTCGCGTATAATATTGACGGTCGTTTAATTTCAAGTTTTTTAAGACCCTTAAAAATTTCTCGATTACCAGATTGCAAAAGAACGCAAAGATTTCACGGCCACTTTTCTTGAAATTCAACTGCGACAATTATGCAAAAAAAAAAATGAAAATGTCCAAATCGCAGCTGCATAAACGGAACTTTCGATATTACGAGGATAATATAATGGCGGTAATGGATATATAACATAATGGACATATAAGTTCAGGAAGTGATAGTGTAATTTTTGACATCGTTAATCTGATGGCAGCACGTAGAAATATTGTATTGAGGAATTAAAAAAAGCCCAATGATATTGTCGCTGACAAGTAAACAACAACATGGTTTCAGCATTACAAGTGCAAAAATGAATTTAAAATAATTCCAGTCGCTTCAGATTCTTTCTTTTTTTTTCAGCTTGGTAAATAAAAGCAAAGACAAAGAATGGAAATAAAACAAGACATAACAAGGAAAAGCTTACAACATGATCACCCTTATATGCAAAGAGCAAACACGTAGGTCATTCCCTGAAATTTACGACCACTTCAATGAGCACTTTTCTTGCGTACTTGTTCACACAATTGCGTACCATGTCGAGGGCCCTACTGAAAACCTCCCTGGTGGGTTGGTTACCCTCGTCAAATATTATCATTATCGTTATTATAAGGCTTACGACCCCTTTGACACGAAAGAGCCAAAGAATCCGACCTTTAAAATTTGACAAGACCACACAAAAACCTAACAAAATGAGAGAAGCTACCTTGAGAAATCACCACGCTAGATATGAAGCTCGGCAGCCAGTGTGCAATATTCCTCAAGAATTACAAAAACACTTCTCATGATGATTGAATTCTCGTCATTACTCCAGAAAAATTAAAACAGCTCCTGTGTAAGCTTCCTGTTCGACGTTTTACGGTGACAAAGTAGTAACTTTGTTTTTACAGCGTGTTTCGTCAGCAATAAGCTGATTAAGTCCGGCGTGGTTTTAGTTTCGAAAATTGAACTTGGTGTTTCGGGCTCTAAATGGAATTAAGTCGCTTAAATTTCTTTGTCCTTAAAATGTCATTTTTAAGTGGGTGGAGGTCAAAAATTAAGTACCAAGGTATCTCTGTGTCTAGATTTTAATGACTGAAATCGCATCCTACAAGTTAAATGCGTATTCTGGTGTGACAACAACAACGGAAAAACCACAAGTGGCATTTTATTTCCATCGAAATGGCTTTCTTTTAACCCTGTGTTTTCTGCGAACAGAAAGCGCTCTTTAGAAATACCACAGCAATTATTAGATGATAAAAGAAAAGCATTGTCACGCCCAATCGATATAATATCGTCTAACCGCTATATTCACAGCCTGACAGGGCAAATATGAAAATCAGCGAATAGAAGCGGTTCCTTTGGTTAAGACATTTCCGCAAGATAAACTTAATACTTCAGTGGCTGTAAAGTGTTTTCCTTTTTTCAAAAGAGAACAGCGAAAAGAACGAGAGGCAAGGGGAAATAACATTCTTCATGACTCATCGAATTTTCGCCACGCGGTGTTATCGATTACATAAACAGCCTCTGCTTCTACAAAACATATCTATGCAAATCTGTTCAAAATTATCACAAAATCAGTGAGGCTTTCACAATTCTATGAAAACGCGCAGAGGTTCTTGTTTGTTCCCGTGACCTCTGTTCATTCTCCGTTTTGTTGTCTTTTCCCCAGGTTAAGAAATACAATTCAAAAGCAATAGTAGTTTAATAATCTTTCCCGGTTGTTACAGATCGGAGACTAAGCAATTTATCCAAAAGCCGTTTGCGTGACTAGACAGCAAATCAACAATTAACACTGTTAGAGGTGAAAGTAAAAAAAAAAAAAAAAAAGACTGAAGCCTTTGAGTCAACCCTCGTTTAGAGCGCTGTTGGAGCTCACCTTTTATGTGAGGATGCCAGAATTTTGCACTACATAGGTAACACGAGGTGCCATCGCAGAAGATGAGAAAGAAACGCTCTTGACTGTAAAGAGAGGGAACTGAATGAGAGGGATCTCTGGACTTATGTTACAAGCAGTCGAGCTTTAGCCGATTATCTAACAGATCTTCTCCATGTTTGTTTACGTTGTCCATGCAATAAAACTCACTTCTCAGTGAAACAACAAAAGACGCATTTTTAAATATGGAAACGTTTAGGAAAACATCACAGAAAGGAAACACTTAACACGGTGGGAATTTGATCAGGAAAACAACACACATAATCTGCCAGATTGTAGCATGGCATACATCACGCACGTAAAAGAAAAAACACAAAATACGCCGTAACTTGTTAAAATGCAACTGTCGTCTGTGTTTGCTGTTGGACGAAATTTAATACACAACTTTTTATCGATGATGGACTGTGAGCAGTGACAATTTACTCTGCTGTTCCATGACAAATAGTTGTCGAACTGATCCACAGAATTGGAGGCTACGACATCAATGAAAGGAAATACGCTGGAAACACAACACGAAAACAAATATCCAGCTTATGAAAGGACTTACCCCCATAAGCTACTAAAAAATTCTTCGCAGCTTTCGATCTTCAATGACAATCGACTAATAATGCGAGAAAACTGAAGAGGACTTTTCCTTAAGGAAAGACAAGCCAGCAATGCGCAAAAATCTTTGAAATGATTATCGCGAAAGAATACCCAAATCACTCTACAAAATAAGAGTCTTAACGAAAGTTGAATTGTTACATCGTGTCGAAACCAAAATTGGATTCACCAAACAAAACAAAAGACTCAAAGATGTCCTAAACCACTTTCACTTCCGAAAAAAAAATTAGTCATGCAAATATTATTTTCTTTGTACAGGAAGGCCGAGGATAAATTGTATTGAATAAAATTATATACGATTTAAACTTTCCAACGCACACCACCGATTCTTTCGTTTCTGGACTAAGTCCACGCATTGTCTTTTATCTCCGAAAGGTCGCTAGTGAAAGGTTAAAACAAAGCACCTGGACAATATTCACTGTTTCCTCGCTAACATTTCTTGTTCACAAAGTAACCAGGGTTTCAGTCTCAAGTTAAACTCCAACTCTTTCTCATACAGTGTACGAAGTTGAACAAAATTCGGTCGTTTAACGAACGTTAAAGAAAATTTCGCGGCATTTCTCACCACAGTACAAATCTAAATTTCTCTGCGGGCTATTGGTTGTTTCACATTTCACTTTTAATTCGCGCGGAAGTTTTGGACTGTTCACCAATAGATCGTCAGTCAACACTGCAATGTGTTTAGACAACAACAAAATTCATGCCGTACATGAACGAATAAACAGGTCATGAAAACTACCAGAGCGAACCTCCTTCATTCCATGATAGGAAACAAACAGAAACCTGTCAAATCTGCCACCTCCTCTAAATGCGGAAACCTTGAGTAAGGGATTTTATTACCTAAAGTGCGATGTAAAATATATTGAATGGCTATAAAACGTCCTAGTAATCTTTCACTTGCCGCACTACGGTGGATTTTTTTTATGAGGAGAGTTTTAAATACTACGACCAGTGTGTGTCTTAAAATATCAGGATATTTGGTCACATTCAACTTTAAATCAAACCGCAATCCAAAGAGTAAAAAGTTCCATTTGTAAAACTTGTAAAAACTATGAATTATTTGTTATTTGGTGGTCCAGCTTGCGTCCTATAAGACGACAAATGAAAAATGAAATTGCATTCACGGAAAGGAAAATTCGCCAATGTTGTTTCCACTTTACGATTGAGTGCGAATTCTTACTAGAACTATCGCGAAGAAGGGGAACTCAGTAAATGTGCCCTTCATGCGAGGATTATCAATCTAGGAAGATGTTAGAAAAAAAAAGCCAAACGATACATGTAAAACCAGAATAAATTAGAACTCAAGCGACAACAAATGCGCCTCTAAAAAGCTTTATTGTTATCAGTGATGATAAACGAATTCTGATAATGTTATCAGCTATCCCGCAAACCTACCAAAATGTCTTTTGTGTCAACAAAGACTTTCGTATGGATCGCGCATCGGCTAAAAACCTAGTAACATAAAACGGGAAATATTACCTTTTCAATCGGACGATAAATCTGAGATCAACTCGCTCCGGTACCTTTCTCCAAGGATTTTGCTGTGGACCTTGAGAATTCACAAACCAAAGAAGATTTTCCGGACAATTTTCAGACCTGATATGTTTCTCTTCTGTAAGGTAGATTGCCTGACGGAACAACTTTTGTTGGTAGTATCAGAGGTCAATCAGTGCTCAAGGCTCGTCACTAACTGAGTGAATCATTCAGGGAATGTTAACGCGAGATTCTCAAAGTATCTAGTTGCTTGAAGCCTGCAGTTTGTATTGCATACCGTCGACTTACGACAGTACTCGTACCTGCCTTTCGTTTCACGAAACAAAATTAAAACCAGGGTTTTTCAATCCGTCCTTTAAGGATAGTACTCTCCAAAAGCACTCAAACTAAACACTTGACCAGAATATTGGCACAACAACTGGTGTCTCTGTGAGACGGACAGAACATAATATAGAATTGTCTGGAACTTCGGTGTCTGAGCTATGTCCGAGACGAAAAACCGCGCAAGTCGAGAAATCTTAAATCCTATCAAACTGATAGTCACTGTTAAAACTCAAACAAACTGTCATGCTAATTCAACCCATTGCAGGCTTTTATTTAGTAGCTTAATCATAACATAATAACGGTCCCGAAAAACTTTCTAAAACAAATAAAGTGACTCACTTGACCTAATATTTCAATAAATATCTATGTGACCCAAAGTAAGCGTCAATAAGACGAAACATCTCGGCCGAGCTCGGTACTCAACAATGTAATTTTTGACAGGTAAGTAACCCGCAGAGACAAAAGATAGACTATATGCACAACTTAAACGACAATAATCCTCTTCCGTTTTCCTGCGGAAAGAGCGACCCCCCAACACATAATTTGGTGTAGTAAGCCATGCATGGTCGACTTGTCACTTCCCATGATATCATCCTAAATATAACATTAAGAGTAAGAACACGTACCTCTAAGTTTTTCGTTTCTCGACTGTGTAAGCTGTGTCTTACGACATAACTGAACCATGCTGTCGTCAATAAGTGTAGCTTTGAGTAGAAATCCACTCCATTTTTTGATGGGATCTCCTCAACCGATCTATTACCAACAAACCAACCAAACCGTCATCATAAAAAGGTCGTGTCTGTCAATATTCGTTTGTCATGGATCACCGGCTCCAGTCCCTACAAGGTGACGTGACATTTATTAATAGAGTCAAGACATTTTAAAATGTTTACGTCTGTTTGTGATTATTAGAGTCAAAGTTGAGCCTTTCAAAGGGAGGAACCTCACTAATTAGCCTTTATTATGAAATCTATGATTTCTCATCACGAATCGAAAACCACCGTTAAAATAGAATCAACTTGTGCAGCGTCTGCAATCACTCACGCTGAAAATGCAACTTTCGACTCCAAAATAACATTTTTTAATTTTTTTCTCTAGGCGCATATCACCCACTTACTAACCATTCACAGTCTATTTGTCAGTCGTTTGTTATTTCATACCCACTCAGACTATAGAACATCCATTTCGCAACATTGAAAATCAATAGGACCTCCTTCGTAATATTGTAACCTACGCTTATACCCGAACGAGTGGTGAATACTCAAGACAGTTGTTACAAACTGTTTATCAAACCTAGATTACATCCTTGTTATGGGGAATTAGGAGAGAAAAGTAGACAACTAAGTTCAGGCCACACATCGCTCCAGTAACATGAGGTGTATGTTTTATGATGTTTTGATTTTGCGTTCTGTGATGGACCTTGTTAGCGTATGGAATCTAATTTAGACAGTTCTTGATCAAAAACCGCAAGAAGACAAGGATAGGCGTGTTCTTATCAGTCTTCTTTGATTGAATTATGATTCATCTTAAAACGAAATTTCTATCTTCAGGAAACAGGCCAAAACGGATAAAAAAAACAGCTACAGTTAAACAAATGTACCATTCTTCAACTAAGAAACTGTGAAAGAGACGATTTCCTGTCACAAACCATTTAATGGAATCTGACACCACTTGAGTACAAGAGACGGAAATTAAAGGAAATGACAAAGCTTTTAATCGATGGATATACGCCCCCCTGATTAAAATATCATGTGGAATTTGTCGGAATTTTTATAATTCAAGGAGTAGTTTAATCCATTTTAAGTCATTTCTATCCATTTATGTTCAATATTTGAAGCAAAGGTAATTAGATAGTCCAGCCCACTGGCTCCTAAATAAAACAAAAAAAGATCATAGTACAATGACTTGTGTTTCGCAGAACGGTCGATGCTTTCATGAAAAATCTTGAAAGGCTGATAATTAACGACCAAAAACCCTTAACGTTTTAACTCCCAAGATCTGATTCTTAATTCTTAACAGTAGCAAATGTACGCTTGGAATCCTTAGGGGTGGGGGGGTAGGGGGCACTTGGAAAAAAAACTACCATCTCCAGGGGCCCATGTGCTCCTGTCATCTCCCTATTTCGATCCTTCTCGGTATACTTAGTCTGCCTTGACTAACTAAAGCCTAAGAAATAAGTTACAAACTAGTCACCGATAAAGCTTGTATAATCTTTTTATCCCCCGCTGAAACATTTTTTGGAAAAAAAAAAAAAAACAACCAACTAACAATCCAAGAAAAACAATAGATGAAGGTTTTTGGGAGTGGACTACGAGAAGCAAAACATAGTAAAATGAATCCTTGAAACTTGACATTTGGTCAACCATTGCATTTTTGAGTAGAAATCACGCCGTCCGTGGGAACATTATGTACGGATTACTAGCCACTACAAAAGCGTACAGTCCGTCTTCCAAAACACTGTGGCTGTTTTGACAATATTTTTCCAAATTTTTTGTCGTTAACGCTATTGTATCTACTATTTTCGCAAAATATTTTACATCTTTCAAGATTTTTTCGTCATCGCTCTGACGAAGGGCTAACGCTCGAAACTTCAGCCTTTAAACTCTTAACGGTGGCTAATTTACGTTTTCAACTCAGATGTTAACAGTAAATTACCTGTTAAACATTCATCAGTTTGTCATTTACCACTCCACCCACAGAAAGGAAAACACATCTGACTTTCGTGGTGTTGTACAACGAGCTCACTTTCGCTTTCGAACTTTAAAGTTTCTCAACACATTCTTGCCGTAATAGCTACAAATGAATTATTATTTTGTCCCTCTTGTGGTTTTTGAGGCTGAACTTATCGAAATCCACCTGAGAAATATTTCTATTATTTTTCCTTTATGTCACATGCAAAAACAAATCGCAAATTTTAAGCTTATTTGTTCCTGTCAATGTACATGACCATCTTCCGGTGAATCAGAGAGAATAACATGTACTTGTAGAACCCCAGCTAAAGATCACAGAATTCTGTGTCCATAAACGGAGTTAGGACTAAAAGTAAATTTGCTTGCGACATTGTTTATATGCAATATGTCTGGTGCATTTGGGCAGATTATGCGTGCGTAGTAATATTATTTAATCACGTTTGGAGGATACCGAACTCACAACCTTTCCGATGGTAATCTGAAAAAGACAGTGAATAAAAGGTAAGTTGTGGGGTGTAATATGCTTACCTCGCATCAGGTAAAACAACTTCTGTTTTCGAATAGAAAAGAGCCGCTGCATTGCAAGCACATAAGGAAGAAGCATGATCTTGAAGTCGATAATAATGTCGTAATTTGAAACGCTTTGGCAGCAGGTGTCCTTGTGACAGAGGGGGACTCAGCCGAGTTATTATGGCGGGAGTACGCCTGGCACAAATTGACATCGTCGCCTTCCTTCGCCATATTGCTGAATCAGCTATGTCGACTGCCTGTAAACGATGAACGCTGTGTCGTTTTTGAAGAGCAAGGCTTTTAAGGAAAGAGAAGAAAATGCAAGAGAAAAGCTACGTCAAGCCGTTAAGCGAGATCTGATCGCAGATCTATCCAGGTAAATGTCCAAGATCGAAGTTTACATTTGTAGAGCTGATTAGTTTTAATGGTCTTAGCATAAAACAGTTTGTCGTTGTGAAGCGTCAAATCTATTTCATTTGTTGATCTACCTAGGAAGAAATCTGTCCAAAATCCAGACATAATCAAAAGAAAAAAATTGCAAAATGGTTTGTCTGTACTTTCTTTTTTCCGAAGAGGATGGATCGACAATTATGAAATGCATCAGTCACTCGATCAAACACAGTTTTTTTGCGGAACCCTTTAATCATTAATCCTGAGAGTGACTAGCATCTGATTTCTCTTTAAAGTATCAGTGCTGGATTAAGCAGTAAGGTCATGAGAATTAAGGGAATAATCGGCAACTCAAGAGACTCTTGATTAGTGAACAAATTATTCTTCCTATCGGTACCATAGGAAATGTACAGAGAACAGTATGGAGAATTTGCATGCGGATGTTAGGGTGTTAACGGTTAATGAAGTGAATCTGGGTGAGAATACATAGCAAACTGATTCAAAACAAGCTGGATATCATTCAGTTTCTTATTTTTTACATATAGTTTGTTTTCACTTTCAGGTTGTTTGGAGATGCATCCTTCAGTGATGTCACATTTATGATAAATAATGTTGAATTTCAAGCCCATACAGTTGTTCTCAGAGCAAGAGCTCCAAATTTCTGTCAACATTTTCTTCCAAGATATGCCTCCGCAGGTTCTGTCCAAACATGCATTCAAATAAATGGAATAGAGGCCATTGAGTTTGAGAAATTTCTAAGGTAGAGATGGTCTTTGCCTAAATTTTAGCCTATATTTTCAAGAACAAAAAATATTTACAGGTTTGGTAATGATCTATGCAAAAATTTCCAGAGTGTGTAAAGCATTGAACTTACTTCTTGTCATTTATAATGTAAGTAATATCAAGATTAAAACTTTTCAAGCTTCACTATTATTAGTTAAGTTATTTATATTAAACTAAGGTTGAAACTGTCACCACCATTTTATTATAACTGTATTTTTTTCTGTTTTTTCTCAAGGTCTGCTTATACAGAAGATGATTTTAAAGACTACGATGGATCAAGCTTCCCTTGGGAAAAAGAGACTATACCAAGCTTAGTAGATGGGATTGATCATGTTGTGGATGGTACATGTAAAGAAGACAGTTTCAATAAAAGATTTGAAAATGATATAGACCATCTTCAAAACAATATCCAGCCAGAGGTTTGGGCAGGGAAAGATGGTATTGAAGGATTACAAGCGAAGCCAGAGGAATTTGATGGTAATGATGCTACTTGTACTCAGTCGTATTGCGACATGGATGGTAATGGGTCAGGAACTGTTGGTGATGGCATTGTAGAGGGAACTTCTAAAGGAGAAGAAACTAGTGGACCTAGAGATAATGATTGTCATTCTGACTCCAAACTACCACAAGCAAGTTGTATGGAGGATACATTGAGTTTTGAGGAAAGACTTGATTCTCGTCCAGAGTTCTGTGATCATTTTGCTGTTAGCCTTGGTAACATACAAGAGACTTACCTATCAGATGTAAACCAACAACAACATGATTTGGAGGAAAATCAGCATAGTAGTGATTTAGTTGATGGCCCTGGTAATGTGATTGATGAGGAAAATGTTGAATCAGACTGCAATGCAGATGGAATTGGAAGTGATTCACATACAACACACTCAAGCTGTCTCTTGAATAAACAGGTTGCTGAAATCAAGACAACAAATGAATTGACGGATGAATTAACTTCAACAGATGGTAGAATTTTGGAGAATAGTTTCAAAACCAAACTAGGTAATTTAGAAGTTAAAATTTAAAATTATACATTTGAATCAACAATGATATTAAATTTAACTAGCATATAATTTCTTCCAACACTATTATCCCTGAATCACACATTAAGGTCACAAGAATGAAGGAAATGATCACCAACTTCAGAAGCTATTTGTAAGATTAAAATCTGTAGTTGAAGATTGGCAAAGAAAGACAAAAAGCAACAGTTTTAAGTGACAGATGAAGACAAAAAGGCTGAGAGAAATCACTTTGATGTGGGAAGTGAAGAAGCCTGACAGTTAGAGCACTAGACTCTGGTTTGAGAGGTCAGAGTTCAAGACCTGCCCTGGGTCAGTGCATTGATTTTTGGACAAAATACTTTGCACACACAGTACCTTTCTCCACCCTTGGGTATAAATGGGTTCTGGGTACATTAAAGAATGCTAGAAGTTAACAGACGATGAGTTAGCATTCTATGCTGTGGTAGTAGCAGTATTCCTAGTCAGTTGATGCTATGGAGTATAGGTTCCAGTCATTTGGGCTGCATGGTTGGAGTGTTTACTGAATCCATTCTGTACATTTTTTTCTGATAGATTTTAGTGTTATGTTTACAATTTATTTTATAAGTGATCCACAAGGTGAGGTGCCCATCTAGTATAATTCCCACAATAATAAATGACTCAGCCATACTCAAGTTTCTAAATAATATATATTTTTGTATCAGATATTGGTCCACCAGGGGATGACTCATTAGGAGATGAATTAAAGGTAGATGAGAATTACACATTGTTATCATTTCTGAAGGACCTGCAATTTTTTTGTTCATTTATTTGTCAACCAATAAGTGCTGAAATGCAAAGTTTTGTTTTCTTCTGTTTTTTCCTTTATGTGATTTCAAGAGTTGCTGTTGTACTCTTGGTCAAGAATTACTTCAGTTGTTAATAAGTGAAGTTGGATCTGATGTTGTCTTTATTGTCAATGGAGACAAAATCAAAGCCCACAAGTGAGTGCTTAATATGGAGGTGTGGCAGTGTTATTTTCATTTTTGTTGTTAGTCAAAACATTTTCTATATTTTTTGCCAGAGCCATTTTGTGTGCACGCTCAAATTACTTTTCAGCCATGCTTTATGGTGACTGGATTGAAGGAAAAACTAAAGAGATTCCTCTTATAGGGTGAGTCACAACTTCTAATGAAATATGACATCTCCCTGCCCCCTTCCCCCTCCCCCTCCCCCTGCCCAGCATAAATTCTTCCTTCTGAATAAGACACCAGCTATTAATAGTGGCTCAGCAATTCATGGGCAGGACCCTATATTGAAAGGCTCTAAGTTCATGACCAAAACAGGGTCTGTTGAGTTCCTGGATGAAGCACTTTGAATAACTCAAACAGCCATTATGAGAATAGTCACCCATGGATTTTAGACAGTCTAATAAGAGTTTTTGAGCTAATAGTGTGCATGCTTGGTGGTTGTTTAGAGCCAACTGATTAGTGTGATTTATTTTATTTTAGTGTGAATTATAACGGTTTCATGGCCGTCCTGAAGTATATTTATGGAGGAACAGCTCACGTGAAGGGTGATTTTGCACTCATATGGTGAATAAAATGTTTTTTAACTCTTTTAAAGGATAACAGTCTGCATTAGATGCCTGACGCCTTAAGAATATATGGTATTGCAAAGGTCATGGGTTCAAATCTCGTATGGGCCTGAATTTTTTCAAGTCTCATTTCAACTACAAGTTCAGTAGCATTCATAGCTGCAAGGATTGCTTATATCTCAATTGATATATTTATAGAATTTGCTAGTATTTTTAAGAAAAAGGAGGTAGGGAATCATAAATTGAAAAAATTGTGTAAGATTGAGTTACTATACTCTTTTATTTTGTGTGTTACATTTTTCTTGAGAATTATTGTCAAGGTATTTCTGGTTTGGCAAACAAAATACAGTATGTTGTCTGACTGTTTTCTGTTTCATTGGCAGTGATGCACTTCCTCTTGTAGACATGTATGGGCTGGAAGGACTCAGAGAAATCATTAATTGTACATTGAAAATTGACAAGTGTCATATGTTTCATAAGGTGAGATAATCAGACAATAGTTCTTTTTATTTTGTGACATAGTCAGAAAAGAATGACACCACTTTTGTTGTTTTTCCAGCCCTGTGCAGAATGTCTGACTGGTATTCCTGAGTGCTTGGAAGTATCAGAGTTGTTTAGTCTTACTGATCTCAAGAAATCTTGCATCAAGTAAGGGATATTTTAAAAGAAGTTGTCATGTTTTTTTAATGTGTGCATGCTCTTTGTTGATTATTTAAATGTCCTTTTTGCAGATGGATGGCAAAACACTTTGATCGCACTTTGGGTACCAAAGGATTCGCTTCCCTTCCTAAGCTGCTTCAGGAAGAAATTCTGGCTGAAATTCAGAGGAGCTTTGTAAGATATGCATTTTTCCACATTTTAGCAAGGATTAGAACATGATTATTCAATGTTGGGCTGATTTTCAAAATGGCTGGAATTTAATTTTTTACTGCTTTCTGTTATTTGCTTTGTCGTACAAGTGGTACACATATTGAATCACAAAAAGAGTTGAATCACAGCATCACCAAAAACCTTTGGGTCACCATTCTCCAACACAAAATATTTGTTTTGTATACATTACCCAGTTCATATTCTGAAAACCAAACTGAAAAACAGTAGAAGGCGTAACAGTTCTCTAATTAACAAATAGATTCCAAGTTGCCGTGTGTCGGAATCTATTTGTTTTATATAATAAAGAATTTTAAAAATTTTTAATGATGACATCATCTATATGTCTGTCCTCCAATAGGTCATAAGTGAGAGCCAATCAGAATGCATGCATAACTGAGCTTATTATATAATTGCCTACATTACATGCCAAAAGCAGCTGGCATATTTTTTCAGTACCTAATAATTTAAAGGTAGAGTAACAAAACACATTGTCTTGATTGCAGGTCGTAGCATCAGCCATAGAAGTCTTGAATCACTGTGACAAACTTTCTTCATGTACACCACTGGTCAAGTGGACTGAGCCTGTTCACTTGGCTGTTTCTGCTGTCCAAGAATCTTGTCTGTTGTTTATTACTCAAAACTTTTTTCGTTTAATTGATCAAAGGAGCTTTCATGAAATCCTGAAGGTAAATTTAACCTGACAGCACTAGTAAGTGACAGGGTTAATCATTGACTCACACATGGATTGATTAAGTGAATGAACACCATACCAACTGGCTGACTAACTGATTTAATGATTGATTGATTGATTGTTTTGGGGGCTGGATGAAAGATGCCGTTAAAGGTTAGCTAACTGACTGACTGACTGACTCTCTCAACCTTTCAGGGGGTAGGTTGGTCAGTGCCTGTCTTAGAAAAAATTCTATCTGCGATTAAAAAGAACCTGACCATTGAAAATTGCTGCGACCTCCTAAGGGCCCTTCTCAAGCTACAAAGGATCCTTAAAGTGAAGGCACAGGAGAATGATGAGGAATGCTATTCGGAGGTTTGGACGTTCTCTTAGAGTTCCAGTTCAAACTGAAGTAAATCCTTCAGGGAAACTCTGATATTTCCTTAATTGTGATAAATCTATGGGCTGTTTTACTATTAGACGAACCAGCTCAAAAATTACATCTTTCGTAGTCTACAAATTTGTCTAAAATAATCCGTCTTCGAATCCTAATTTGTTCATAGTTTTCTCAATTTAAATTCGCCATTGGAATAACTCTTGAACGCGATCTATCTGAACTTGAAATTATTTTCATAAGTCTCGTGACTGAGCAATTTTGGAAAAAAAATTTACACCGTATGGAAGAAGTTGTACCTGGTTTACAGTCGATAATGAAGTTATTAGCTATTTATTACTATATTGGTGTCTTCTACACTTTCTTCCCACTTTTTTCCCCTAAAATTGTTTTTATTCGCCGTTTTCATCTTCAACATCGTGTTTAATTTTTTCCCAGGAAGTAACTGATCTTGTGGTCAATTTACACAAAGACTGTGTCAAGGTTATCAGATGCAACCTTTTTAAAGTAACCCGATCGGAAGGATGGAAAAAATTAAAGCTTTCTACTCAACGCGAGGTAAAGGAAGGTAAGATCTGATTAGAAACACCTGTCTGGTCAGTGTGCTTTGCCTATCTTGTTTTATGGCGACGGAGGGCCTAATTTCCAGGTTATTGTTCAATGAAATATCCCTTCTGAAGTGCGAACTTTTTAACAGAGCAGGCTTCAAGCTCCCGGGATGCCCTTTTTTTGATCAATTCTAAGACGAGGCGAAAAGCTTAATTTTACTTTTGTCCTACAGGTGCGTTGTTTAGTGGTCTGTCTGATTCAGGTGAAAATTCCAACGGAAAGAGGAGAAGTGTGCCAAGTTCTCTTCAAGTAAGTTCAATTTCAGTGGACGAAAGTCGAACCAAATTTATTGGGTGAGCAATAAAATTCCAACAAAGCTACAAGTGTCATTGTCAAAAAACGACACAAGTCTCTGCTTAAACTGCCTCGTAAACTGGATGACATGCATAGGGCTCAGACCAGGTGAAATGATGATGCAGGCTTTAAAGGCAAGGAGCTGGAGATATGTTCAGAAATGAAAGTGTGATGAGTTGATGTAATTCGTACGCGAATTGCATTACGTAGTTTTCCGCAAGTAAGCCTGTCACATTTTATCGGTTGTGCCATAAACCCACGGGCTCTCTGATTGTCACCAACAACCTATATTGAGTTCTGAAACTGTTTGAAAAAAGTGTGGAAACTTAAATCAACCCTCATTGTTTTGTTCCTATTTTCCTGTCTCTTTTATTAGGCGTCCGCCAGGCCATCAACTATGAGATCTTTTCAACGAGCTGAAACTGAATCTCGTACGACAGGACGAGGGAGAGGGAACTCTGCTTCTGACAGGAGCTCTCAGCAAAGTAGGCCCACGTCGGGTAGGAGCTCCCGAAATAGTATCGGACTTGCACCTACGAACATGCGGCCTTCCTCAGGACGGCCCTCGACTGATGGGAGCGGTGTCAGGTCAGTCCGTGGAAAAATATCTTCAGCGACAAGCAGTGATTCTGGAAAAAGACCCTCCTCATCTCAGGCTTCAATGCCGTCGAGAAGCTCGAGAGCGTCTTCTTCGTTGTCAAGGAGCTCTGATAGAAACTCTCTACCTAATTCACGATCTTATCAAAATTCCTCAGCATCAGGGCATAGGGAAACATCAAAAACCTCTTCTCAAAGCTCTCATCAACACACTGTAACATCTAGTAATGGCACAAGGTCTTTATGGACTCAAAGTAGCTCTAATGCGAGGCCCTCGTCGGCTCCAAGTTCATCTGGCGCCATAAGAAAGGTCCCGTTAGTTTCCAGGCCGCCAGTACCAAAAGGTACCAACCGAGATATTAACAATACCTCGTCAAAGCGAATCGTTAGAGACAAGCTCTTTTCTGTACAGGGTTGTGGCGCACAAGCTAAAAAGGGGCCGTCGGTCTCAAATTCACGCGTTTGTCGTCAGCAAGTTTCAGAAAACGTCAAGGCAACTACTAATTCGTTTAAGGCGAATAAACCGTCTAAGGTCAAAGGAACAAGTTCACAAGAGAATCTTAAACAGGACTTGAAAAATGGACCAGAAGCTAGTAATGAACCGGGACTGAGAGAACATGTCCATTCAAAAGATGATGACGTTGGTAGAACGAGAAAAATGGAGGAAGTCTCAGACAACATAAAAAAAAATGATATTTCACTCGAGGAGTTAAAAGATGGTGTCCAGTCAATCAGCTCCGAGGAGCAGAAGCAGTCTAATACGTCGTCGACTCTAACGAGAGGGGAGGAAGGTTCATTACCCTTAAATGAAACAGCTGACGAGAATGTTTCCCGGTCACTCGATGATGACTCTGTGGAGAACGCTGAGGTCAATGATTCGCTTGAACTTGACTAAGTTTGTACTTAATTAATTGTAAATTTTGGTCAGTCTCCTAGTGTGTCATCCCTCAAAGGAAGCTAAATCGTGCAGGGAAAAGCAACATTAGCAGAAACAGATGTGCCTTAGATGCAGCGGTGGTGAAGGGAGGGGGTGGCACCAGTCTAGCTCTGTGAATGAGGCAAGCTGTAAATTAACCGAAAGTCGCCTCTTATACCCTTCAGGCATGGCATGGGGAAGATGGGTAAATAACCGTCTAGTGTGAAAACATAAAATAATTTATAATAATTAAATAGAAAAGCCAGGAAATTTATTGGTTATAACCAGATTTCTGTGCGCCATTTTGTTTGTCACTATCACAACAAACACGGATTTTTTTTATTGCAAAGTTACCAAGGCCATGCGGTCTTCGCAGCAAAAACAGTCAAATTGTTCATGGTCAACTTATCGAGAACGAAATGTTAATTTCATTTTGTTTACAAAAAGGGTAAGATAGTCTTTCAGTCTACGAACGAACCCGCGCAAAAAATTATGCCACACTGCAAAAAAACACTTCAATACAAGATTACTTTTAAGGCAAGATGTAGCAAAAATCCCGCTAGCATATAATACACATATGGCCGCGGCTGCCTCTGTTCTTGGGTTGCTTTTGTTCGCTCGTAGACTGGAAGGATAAAAAACAGCATCGCACACCAGTTGTTGGTCGGGGGAGGGAGGGCATGCGCTGCCACACCTGGGTAGCTATGTCGAAGCATTCTACCGAGTTCAAACTAATCCCGTCCCATCCCCCGACGAGATAAATTTTGTTGTTAAATACGCATGCTCCGGCGTTGGACCTGGGCGTGCACATGGGAGTCACTTGAGTCCACTCAAGCGTCGTAAAACTGTAGCATTCCACCGATCTGAGAGTGTCGTTACCATCGTAACCGCCTAACACGTACATTTCGTCGTCCACGACAAGCGCGCTTGGAAAAGAACGTCTGTCGTGCATCGGTTGAACTTCTGTGGAGTTCCAAGAATCCCTATCGAGATTGAAGAAAGAGTTATGCTGTGGCATATTTGATGTCGCTGTTGTTGGGCCAATCAAACGCCAGTCTACGTGTCTCGAATACTGTGGAACTCGGAACGCATTGAATATAAGAAATCTGTGTCATCTTGTCTGGGATAACAAACCAATCATGTACGAGAAACGTAAACTTATTAGTTTGTAGTTTGATGGGTTACTCACTTCTCTTGATCTTCACTGCGATTGTCCATAACACAATGAAGATTTCGGACACATTTCAGATGTTTATGGTTTTGTGATTTTAGATCCCCTTGGCCAAAGCCAAATCAATGTCTAATTTATACTCAACTCAATGGGTTTAGTTTTAATGTAACTAGTTCCTCAAATAAAGGCGACAGTTCCTCTAGCAAATCGGGAGCCGATCAACCAGAGTGGATCTTTGACGCGAAACGATAGGGTTATCCTAGCTCTCTTCTTTTGATTAGATGTTGGAACTCGAAACGTTCCCCGGAAGCATTTTTATTTATAAATCTACTCGTGATAGGGTTAAATCTATGGCCTATCAGTATAGGAGATAGAGGCTCCCATTGATGGCTCCTGAGGAAACTAAGATCTTTCTTTATGTTACGCTTTCAAGCAAGGCAACAAAACTTTGTCAATGAGTAATAAGTATTACTGACTAAAATTACTGGGAACTAACTTGATTATTAGCTCATCAAAAGCCAAAACTAAACTAATAGGGCGACTTTTAATTGTTTTTGGTTTCCTGACTTGTGCGGCGGTTGCGTGTAAAGGTTTCATGTTTCCCGCTCTAAGCCGTGATGTATCAGTTACGTTTCTCTTTTCACATGGAAATGATTTTTGTTTTAGCCACGAGAAATATTTTTACCGAATGCCTATTCGCAGTGAAGTCATTTCAAAACAGGATTATTTACCTTGTAGTGTCATAGCACTCGACTGTATTTAAAATACTGGAACCATCATGGCCGCCAATGACGTAAATAGACTTCCCGTGAGCTACCGCGGCGACACATCTTCTTCTTGTCGGCATGGGAGACTTGGTGCGCCATCTTTAACAAATACAAGATACTAAATTAATGAATTAAGTGGATCGTAGAATTTATTGTCCTTGAGAGGTTTCGGCCCTTATGCCCCTATCCCGATGAGGCGACATAATAGTGATTCGAGACGAAAAGTATAGAAGCTGCTTTAAGTTGGAAAACATATCCTTAATTCCAGAAGTCGTCTTGACTTGACAACTTTAAAAGAGTGCTTCAGGCTCTAGATCTGCGAGCTGGTAAAGCTTGTGTGAGGAGCTCTGACTCTGCGAAGGTGATGAAGTTTTCATAATAAGTCTTAAAGGTTTTTGGTCTGTACGTCCTTTAGAACCAGTGACCGAATCAATGAAATCCCAAACGCTTACCTATGAACGCTTAACTATGAACGCTTAACTGAATATTGTTCCTCTTTCTACTGTGTTGTCTCACGTAATACCCACACATTATTACCTTCCTGCTTGAAGACTGAAACATTCTATGGAATTGAGCGTGTTTTGACCGTCATAGCCGCCAACAATGTATACATGACCATCTACCTCCACGGAGCCGTGTTTACTTCTCCTTGTCAACATGTTGGGCATGTTATGCCACTCCTTCTGTCGTACATCATATCTCTGGGCTAAGAATAAAAAATCGTTGCGAAGACAATTAATAATGCTCATAGGACCGAGTGAAGTCCAATTCGGTCTGTAATCATTCAAGTGATAGAGAAAATCGGACGACCGCGAAGCGTGAGTCCCAGTTGGCAATCACGAGTATGATTTACCAATTAATCACAAACATTACAATTTCCGAAAACAACAACTACAATTATCCCTAGTAGAGACAATGTCTAAAATAAAAAATTCCTCAATTTTGGAAATTCCAGTTTTTTTTAGGATAAATGGTTGTTGTTATGGTTATAGTGATCAAATCTGTGATTGGTGGATTTGGCTGAGAGGAATAAGTATAATTGGCTGCTTCAGTTGTCCGATTATAGGTGTCCAATTACAGCGAACTGTCCGACTACAAATGTACAGAACGAGTAGTGGAGAATAACGCAGCTAATGCATCAATCACAGTAAAAAAAACTGTAATGGGTATGATTAATTTTGTAAAAATAAGTGGAAAAAAGTTGTTTTCTTTGCTGGAGAAACAATAAAAGAAAGTCATAGGGACGATTCCCTCTGATTCCTTTTTTGAATAAAAGTAACCATTTGAAAGAACATTGCATCACTTTTTTGACGTATAGGTCTGAAAGAAAGCCAAATTCTCAAAAGTGAATGCACACAACTCTCTGAATTATTTCGCAAGGAATCAGACTTGCACAGGGGACCTGTTCTATCAAGGAAATTGTCAAACGCGCTAGTTCGTTACCTATGTCGAGTGTCTCAGAGTTGACGTTACAATAACCTCCAGTCACGTAGAGCTGTCCTCCAAAACTTGCAATGCCATGATACCCGCGATCCTTTGTAAACCGTGGCAGGTCGGACCATACCTGGGTTACAATGTTGAAGCCGAAAACTAAAACAGAGAAGAGTTGAAAACATTTCGATGCATTCTCCATGTGTGTGCAAGTTAAAAAAAAGATAAAATCCGTCTAATTCCTTTTAATTATATCTCATGTAACTCGGCTCAAAAACTCAACTCAACTACGAAAACAAGTTTTCACGAGAGCGTCCACGTTAACCCCAATGCTGACTTCAAGGTCTTGAAATACGATTGACCAATCGACCAGATCTGATGCGCGTTGCGTGTGAATATACAAAGAACAAAATTTTCCAAAGGGTGAGGGAAAGAGAAAATTGAAATTCGAAACACAGTCATATCGAATTAAGAAAATTTTTACCACTGCGTTAATTGTGCCCACAGGGGACTGTAAATGTAGTCGAACATTTGAAATATGTCGAGGACTTTTTCTTTATCATATAGTATCAAAATTTAGGGAAAAAAAAATTAAAACTTTTTTAATCGATTTAGTTAGTTGTTGGGTTTGATACAAGAGGAAGAGGACTTTGAAGTTATTTAAAGACTCTGAAAACTCTGATCGTCTTAGTTATTGTTTTCGATGTGTTCCCTAGCACAGTCAAGATACGAGAATTGAACCTACCTGTGCTTTGATTATGATAGTCTCCATTGCCGCCCATAGCAATGAGAATCTCGTGAAAACGTTCGTAATTGCGCGGTCTCGTTCTAGTGGTGTCGAGATGCTGGCGACGGTCTGGTAACAAGTGATAATGCTGTGCTTCAAGTAATAGTTCCTTACATCTTGGAGAAGTGTTGAAGAGTTCTTCGTGCTCAACCACATCAACTAAATAGTACGGGGAAACAAGAGGCAGGCGAATATCTTCCATTAATGAGGGAAAAAACGGCCGTCTACTTTCCAAATCGTAGTTTATCCAACCGACAAGAGCTTCGTAAACTTTTTCCTCGTTTTCCACTGAGATCTCGTCACTTTGTAATAAAGTCTGGATTTGTTTCTCGTCCAAATTCATAAACTCTTCACTCTCGGCCACGTGAAGGAAATTCTGATAGATGAAAGTGTTCGTAGTTGTCCATAATTTTGGACACGCGTAGGTTTCTGCTAAAGTTTGAATACCAAGGCAGTTTTTCACGTTGAGTCGACTTTCAAGGAAACGCCCACAAGCATCTTTTACAGACTGCACTAGCATCAGATTGGCGCCCTGTAGGATCGGTTCTACATTGCTCCAGTCTAACACAATCTCGCCAGTATAAATAAATCCCAGTATCATTTTCATGCTGTCTTTATCAACCCCGGTGATGGTAACCTCCCTCTGCTTACTCTCTTTCATATTTCCATTGAACATAGCGAAGAAGTAGTCTGAGCTTGCCGACAGAATATTTTTGTGGGCTTGAAATTCTTCACCTTCCATTGTGATTCTAACATCGCACATAATTCCCTGTTTTTGCAATCCACTCAATCGCTTCAGGACATCTTTCGAGTATTTTTCGTCCGAAAAGACGAAACTATCCTCCATCGCCTGCCTTTTGAAACTCGGTTCCTGAGGCAAACGTCTTTTCTGCCGCATACAACTATTTTCTGCGTGGAGGTTACATTGTCAAGACAGCACTTATCTGAAACTGGGTTTGGCGCTTTCTCAGAAGTTCGTGCTTTCTATTATGACGTAAAATTCGTAATCAACCGTTAAGAATTATTTCTTCATCAATTAACCTATTATGTTTTTCAAATTAAGTGTTTCTCAGACCTCAGACGCCATGATAAGTATTATTTGATAGGTGATATGAACGCTCTCGTTTGGAGCTTTCATCTGTCCCTCGCGTCGTTCTCTCTGCTAACGGAAAAAAGAGCTTGCTTGCGTTAGACCACGCGCGCTCGTGCGAGAGATAGTGTAACATAGACCATAATTTACTCTTGGCCTTATTACTTAATCAGTGGAAACCAATCATCGATACCAATAGCGATTACTGATCGGTGAATAAATATTCACTCGTAGCATTTGTTTTTTTCTGTTTCGAAACATAGGAAATCGACCATAGAGTATTAGAAATGCTTCAGTCACCGGCGTTTGTCGTATCTAGTCCACTCATTTCATTGTGGAGAGAAATGTGACAAACATTTGAGTGATACGGATGAGTTAGTTGCTTTAAGTCTCTCCACCAGCTTACAACCTCAAGGAAAGCATCTCTTTGTAGCCATCTATTTTATATCGGTCATTTTTTCATTTTCGTTTGCGTTTAAAATGAATTTGCGTTCAGGCATTTCCTCATGGATGGGGGCCCCTTAACGGATTTCTACCGAGTTCAGTGTCCACTGTCCTGTTTTGCGCTACCAGCTCCTCCCATCAAATCGACGACTTGCGACGAAAGCCTATACGTAACCGAGAACAATCGATATCAGCACGATCAGTCGATAACGAAACTCTGTATCTATTGTTAATCAATGGCGAATCGCAGGAAAATGTTTCATCTTTCATCGCCGTTGATCCATTATCATTATCGACTGTTATCGATTTTCATCATGTTGTAGACTGGTCAAGCATGGATTTGGTTGAAGGATCGTGTCTAGTGAAACTAGCGATGCATATACAAAAAAATTGAAGTGTTTTAACCTGGTATTCCATTTCTTCGCTTAGTTATCCGAAGTCTCTGGGAACATGAAATATGGAGATGTTTGAACTCAGATCATCGCCCAACCTTGCTGAATTTTCTGACTGATTGATCCCTTCTTCCCAGTCTCCCTCAACAAAACTGGTGTAAATCTCTAAATCGGACCCAGGAAGTGAAGTCCAGACAAGGGTAAAAAATTCGCCAAAATGATGAATTAGTTTGAATTGTTTTTTAATTGTAGTAAAAATTATGTAATTTCCCTCTCCTTTAGAGAAAGATGTTTTTTTCGTATTGTGACGAACGTGGGCTTAAGAAAAAAAATATACACACTCTTTTGTTGGGACACTTTCAGATTAAACTTAGCCTGTAGAGTTTCCATTCAGAATTTTGCGGGAAAGCGGAAGACTTGACCTGCATTCGGGAGACTTCGTAAAAACGGAGACTTCGTAAGAAAAATTCTTTTTTTATGCTAAAGATGACTGGAAACGAGTTTAGCCTTTGCTCATGCGCAGATGGCTGACGCAACTTGCATGTGGAGTATAAAATCTTCTACATCAACGAGGAATTTTCAGTTTGATTTTTTACAAAAAGGTCTATCTTTCAGTGAATTGATACGTCAAAATGGCCGAGGATGAAGCGGTAAGTATGCTTCGCTTATCGGTGGAGCTGTTATGGAAAGAAGTGGACTTCAAACTGATTCGATGTCTATCAAATTTCTCTGAAAATCGTAGATGTTCGACCCAACTATGAAGAAGAAGAAGAAAAAGAAGAAGGTACCTCTTGATCTTGATGCACTTGAGGAGCCTAGTACTCCCTCAAATATGGACGAGAATACTCATGAAATGGAAAATCAGGAAAATACTGTGGAGGAGAAAGAAGAAAAAGAAGACAAAGGTAAAATTGATGATACATGATATTTGATTCAAAAGGCATGCATGATTATGAAGTTAAGACACAACTGAATGTCGTGATCTCTTTCGATGTTTATGTAGAATGTGTAGATTTAGCACAGACTGATCTCTATCACGGACTTTTGTCTCCGTTCTTAAGTTTTAAGCATCCACAAATCCGAGAAACTGCGGACAATTTTCATATACACAGGTCTGGTTTAGTCTCGCGAGATTCTTGATTTGAGCTCAACCTGACGTTTGTCTTACAAGGACGTTTGAATCATTTAACCCAGTTTTCAGATCAAGATTGCAAACACCAGAATGCCTAATGCGTTATGATGAAAATTATGATCGGGAAAGACTATTTATTGCGTGCGATAGCACCAGTTGATCATTCATAAAAATTACAGTACATCCAAGAGATTGCTTGAGTCGGTGCAAAAGGAGCAGCATTTGTTTATTCCTGAGAATTTTGTATCAGCAATTATTATGTCATTGATTTGTAATATGGCTGATGGTGTGAACATAATTTTTTTAAATAAAAGTGCTGCGATATCCCCAGTTTGAGAAGGAAACGACTGATCTCTAGTCTTATTTATTTCAGTTTTCAATTATTTATTTTCAGTTTATAAGCATAAAATTAATAGCTGTACATATAAGACCAGAGGGTGAATTAGGAAACACAGATTGCCCTTTAGTTTTATTGTTTTTCCTGTAGATGGTTCAGTAATTAATGGCACATATCTTTGTAAACTTGAATTTCCAAGGAAGAAGCCCAAATCCCCCCAAAAAAGTAAATGGTTCAGTTATTAATGGCACTTAACTTATCAGCTTGAATTTCCCTGAAGGTAGTCTGAATCAAAACAAAGATACAAGATTATGCATTTACTTCCTGCATACTGCTCGGATAGGAGTGTCAATATGTGATGCTTTCGCACAAATACGATGTTAATGAAGATGGTAAATTCTTCATCACAGATCTCATTAAACTGCCTAGCCAACCAAGAGTTTTTTACAGCTGAGTGGTAGAAAGTAGTAGTTTGAGGCTGTTAGGAGTTCTTAGAGTTCTTTTTTTGAGTATACCTGTGTCATTCAACGAAGAATGTCATCTTTCTATTCATAAATTGTCTGTCAAATGAGGCTATTGCTCAACACCAGTTTCAAAAAAGAAGCCTCAATCAATGGTAGAGTTTGTACTTGCTTCCATTTATTTACCTTTTACATTACTTGTGCAAAAGTTTATCTTTAGACATATTAGCTCTTAGGGAGGGAGATCCTGCAGTTAGATGCCAGCTGATTGTAAATTGTTTGAGGATAAATTGATTTTGAATAGATTTGAAGAGAAGGAACTTTTTGTACAATATACTCAATGACTAATTGATTTCAATCATGTGTTAATGATAATTAATCCAAAATTGCTCGTAATTTAGCTAAAACAATTCATTATAAATATCTGAACAAACAAACAAGTTGTAAACACACAATTTCAGGGCAAAGATTCCTGTGTATCTAGTTTTGATAAATTACAACTATCAACAATCACAGTCATTTATTAGCAGGACTCTTTTCTTTCCACTGCCCTGAATATCTCTCATTTAACAATCTCTTACAAAACTAATTATCATGTATGTGATCTTGCAGATATTTTGGATCTGGATGACTTTTCTGGAATGAAGAAAAAGAAAAAGAAGAAAAAGAAGCCCTATGATATGGAGGGTCTAGAGGATGCTCTTCCGGTATGTGATTGTGTGACAGACTTAGCTGATGTAATAATTTCTTTACAGACTTGGCTGATGCAATAATGAATGGTTGCCAGTAATTGGATCCTTGTGTTTGCGCAAAAATTTCTGGAATTGCCACCGGGCTAATATTGCAAGTTGTTAGAATGAAAAATTTGACATAAAGTTTTTTTAAAGTCTATAAAAAATAAAAATAAAAAAGATTTTGGAGGGAGAGATCAATGCTTTTTTGCCACTGTTTAACAGAAATGGAGGTGGGTAATGTTGATACAAGGAAATGTACCAATTTCACAATAAACATCACGCATGGAGAAAAGTTACTTGATAGATTTTAATAAATATTTCGTAGTTTTCCAAACAAATACTTACACTTCCTTTGTATCAACATTACCCAAATTCATTTCTGTTAAAACAGGAGCAAAAAGAGGATGATCTCTCTCCAAAATCCTTTTTTCCGGACAACAAAACAACCTTTTGCCATGCATTTCTTTCTAGTGACTTGCCCTGTGACAGTCCCAGAAATCTTGGTGCAAACAGAAGGATCTGATTACTGACAACTCATTCATTGATCCATGCTTAAAATTTGCCCTTAAATCTTGAATTAGTTTTGTGCTCATGCTTGCTCAATTTTATTGCAGATGCACTTTTTTCAGTTGCTGAACATTTTAAATTTTTATTTCCAGGATTCAGCCAGTGAAAACAAAACAGAAGAAACTGGAGGAAATGATGGGGAAAAGGAAAACAATGCTGAAACTAAAGATGACCTTGATTTCAGTTTTTCCACAAAAAAGAAGAAGAAAAAGAAGAAGCCGGTTTGTAATTTATTATCTTCCATTTAGTTCTGTCATAGTTTTCATTATTGTTTTAATAGAAATCTGATCATCCAGGAGCAGTAAATATCCTAGCTAAGACATTGTCAGTTCCTTTCTTTTTCAAAATTCAAAGCCGTTCAATTTTGCCCAAAAAGCAAGCACAACCTCAGAATTTTTTTTTATTGTTGAGCCCTTTGTGTTTTTGCTGACATTTCTATTGACACATAAATATGTTAAACTGCATTTTATGAGGATAGAGGTTTTTGAAATTAGCCAGTCCTTCAAGAAGATTGTTGAATTCCTTACAAATGTAAATTTCCCTCATTTTGTTATTTGTTGTTGTTGTTTTGTGAGGAGAAAAAAATTGGGAATGCTCTTTTCTTTTAACTTGGATATGTTATATTTTTCAATAGGTTCTGGATGAGACAGACATGAACGAAGTTGAGTCCAAAGGGATAGAAAATGGAGCAGATTCGGATGCAGATGATGGTAAAGTTTATTTTAGTTTTGGATGACAAGCTTACAGCTAAATTACAAGTGCAAAAAAGTATTGAACATAGATGTTATAATGTAACACTTGATTTTGTGAATTTGACAAGTATAATTCTTTTTTGTCCCAGGAGATATGTTAGATGATAACGACGACAATGTGCCTGCCTGGAATGATAGAGATTACACATATGAAGAGGTATTTGTTATGATTGTACAGAAGACAGGGTGTGAAATCGTGCCCAATACAGGCACCAATGCAATTGAATTTTTCATTTTGGCAACCAAATCCTGAAAATTAATCGCCAAATTGGCGACTAGAATGCTTCATCATAACCTTACCTAGAGATATGGTGAATTAACAAGATTTAAAAAGATAAATCCACTGCAAACTTTCTCGTTAAGTTTGTTTCCAAAATGCAGCATATGTATCTTGATTGATAACTAGATGCCATCTTGGATTTAGGTGAGCATCAACGTTTGTCTTTAAAAATGGCAACCTTTTTTTTTTTAATTGGCTACCACTTTGAAAAATTTAGGAGCCAAGTGGCTATCAGAAAAAAAATTGATTTCACACCTGGAAGATCTTATAAATGAAATTGTACTATTTAGCTAACAACATTGGTAAATGATTACGTGAATGAATTACATTGTTTCACTCATCCGTGGTTTTTGACATACAGTTGTTGACCAGAGTGTTTGACATTATGCGAGCTAAAAACCCTGAAATGGTGACAGGAGAAAAAAAGAAGTTTGTGATGAAACCACCACAAGTAGTCAGGATAGGAACCAAAAAGACATCATTTGCCAACTTCACAGACATCTGTAAAATGTATGTGGATGAAAGTTTGAGGTTATTGTAATCAAGTTTAACTTAGTCATTATGCAGCTGTAAGAATGTTAAGGTAAGATCAGCTTGAGAGCCAAAAGTGCCAAAGGACTGAAAAATAAAGTAACTAGGTTTAAGTGACATGAAGAGACATGAGTATTGCTACTTCATCCTCCCTACCTCCTCCCCCCTGAGATGGGATGTTAGTCCAAGAACCCCCTTCCCCAGATTTTGTCATTTTGTTACTGTTCACTGGTATCCATTTACACTCCTGCACAAAGAGAGGGTTAGTGAGAGAGCAAAGTGTCTGACAGCAGAGTGCATTAGAGTGATGCTACCAAATATTTTAATAAAGTAAATGTAATATTGTGCATTGATGGTTATTAGGAGATTCAAGAGCTCAAGATAATTTTGACATCTAAGAGACTTGCCAAAAAGTAATTTTTAGATTTTTATGCCATGTGCTCCACATTGGGTCCATAATGCCTTAAAGATTTGAAAAGTTCTCGTTGATTCAGATATAAGAAGATGAAATTTTTTTGTTTTTGCAGCTTACACAGACAACCAAAACATCTTTTAGCCTTTCTCCTGGCAGAGTTAGGAACAAGGTATGGATGTCCATCTTGTTTTACTCTTAATGTGTAACAACAGCTGCACTGTTGTAGGCAGCAAGTTTTTTTTTAAAAAATGGAAGTTCATTTTGGCAGTTGAGTCATGGAGTCTGAATTCTTTTGAGAATTAGAATTCATTTAACATATTTAACACAAATTTTATTGCAAGACTTTCTTTCTGTAATTCTGATTTGGTTTTGTTTGAATTATTTGCAGTGGTTCAATCGATGGAAATAATCAACTTATCATTAAGGGACGTTTCCAACAAAAAATGATCGAAAATGTGCTTAGAAGATACATCAGTAAGTGCAGTTATAATATTTTTAGAATCAATTGTTGTTGATACTCCATCCAAAGTTTGACCCTAAGTTCCTATGCTTAAATGGCATGGACCCTTGTTTGGGATAGTGAAGTATAGTATCAATACAATTTCCCTCATTGATTATTTGATAAGTCTAATTACAATTTGCATCAAGGCATTTTTAAATTTTAAGGACACTTTGCCTATTAATCAATTGTGTCAGTGTAACTTCAAGTTGACCCTCTAACTCGCTAAGATCTGATTGTTAACTCTCCTCTCGAGCTGTTACATATTTCCTTTTACATAAGTTACAAGGATTTGGTGTTAGATCAAGATAGCAACTTCTGCCTGATAAGTTTGTGTATTCTCATCACCTGTTTGCAAGGTAATGTATAGAGAAGTTGTTAATCACTTCAGGGAGTTAAAGGGTTAATCCGCCTTGTTTGTGTCTCCCACAGAGGAGTATGTCACATGTAACACCTGCAGATCTCCAGACACCATCCTGCAGAAAGAAACTAGATTGTTTTTCATTCAGTGTGAAACATGTGGATCAAGAAGATCTGTTGCCAGTATCAAATCAGGTTTCCAGGCCATCACCCAGAAGAGAGCTCAACTGAAGAGTAAACAACAGTGAAACACATCTCCAAGCTAGTACATTTGAAAAAATTTACAGATTAAGGAAGTGGTTGGTCTGTAAACTATGACAAGCCTGACAGTTGTCAAATGAATGAAAATTTCTGGAAGAAGCAAGAACACTGGAAAAATATCATTTTAAAAATGTAATCTTTTGAAATTAATGTTTTGGTTGAATAGTAAACATTGCATGGAGTAGGAAGATGAAAAGTACCTGTACATACATTCCTTGTGTGCATTTTCTGCTACTTAAACTAGTAACTTTTCCTTTGTATTAAGCATCAGGTGCTTCTGTTGTTAGAAACTGAGATTAAAAAACTCCAAACTAAGAGAGGAGCAAGCTGAGGGTGAATCCCATGTCCTCCCCCCCACTCCCCCCACAAAAATAAGGCCCATACTCAAGGGAATCCCTGTCCTGGAAACTCAGGAGGATCTGGATAAAGCCAGTTTCATGTCACAAATACTGTATATCTTTGATTGCCTTTCATTAAATAATGCACTGAAGGTGAAGAATGCGGCATGCATTTGAGGATAAAAAGAGAGATTTTCTTGAAAGGTACATCTAGATGGTCTACAACGTCTTTAGTAAGTTTTATCGTTAGTTAGATAGTGGAATGTTAAGTTTCTGTTTTGCATGATAGTTACAACTGATCTATCAGACTTTAGAAATATCTTTTAACAATAAAAGCTACCACAAAGAAGCAGGCCTTCAGGAAACGCTCCAAAGTTAGTTTAAACTGCGGCATTAAGGAGATTAAATTACACTTGAACAACCCATGTGGCTTCCATGCTATTAATGACTATGATCAAATCCTAGAAACACACAGAGTGCATTGTGATGTTACTCTGAGAGATGAGATAATGTGAGTCTAAAAATAACCTGAAAAGGAATTACTTTTATTAGTAACAGAGTCTTGTGTGAGTCTCTTAGCTTATCATCTCTTGAAAAGACTTAATATGTACAAAACTATTCTAAAATTTGTAGAACAAGATGAGATATTTTTGCAGAAGGTAAGGGTAGGAAATGATGATCACTGACCACTTTTTAACTCCACTAATTGATAAACTTCTGACCAACAATGTATTCCTATTACTGTCATCCTTAGAATGTACATGATACTTTAATTGCTGATAGTTCTGTTTATTCTCACATGACCATCTCAAGCCTAGAAAGTACATTGAATAAACTTGTGATGCTTATGTAATATTGTTTTGGTTAGATTAAATTCAGTTTTCATCAGCACATCTCGGGCTTGTGAGTTAAGCATGCATTTCAGGAGAATTCAGAAAAAAAAGGAACTTTTTATGGTGGGTGAAATTACACTGCTGAATTCTCTTATTGGTCTAAAATTCACTCAGACACTAAAAGTAAAACCACATGAGATAAGGCTATACACGTTTTCCTGTGCCTCTGGCAGTTTGCTTGTTTTCACTTCAATTTCTTACTTGTTATTCTTAACTTTTAGCCGTATTTGCTCACCAGTGAGATGAGGACACCCAATTGGCTGTTTTCATTAATTCCATTTTGGTTTCATAGGAATATACCACTTAAACTTCTCCTAGGGATTCCAATGATGTAACAAAATTATTCCTGACTGGTCACTTCCCAAAGGTTACAATACTTTCAAACCCTTCTTAACACCAAATCCACATTTTCTCTTCAAAATTTCAGGAGAAAACTACCAGATAATGAGACAAATGTCATACTTTCAAACCCTTCTCAATGCCAATTTCACATTTTCTTTTCAAAATTTCAAGAGAAACTACCAGATACTATTTTTTTATTGAGAAATGTTATTATTCAATAAATTAAAAGTGTTGTTGGGACTGTCCAGCAAACCATGTGCCTTCGATAAATAATTTATAATTAAACACTTAAGTCTATGACTGAGTTAGTTAGCAAAGATTCAAATATTTCCCATTTTTCAAGTTAAAAATGGTGCTCTTCCCACCTGTTGATTTGTTACTTCCTCCCTTGTACACAATTGATCCCAAACACAGTGCACATTAAAGGAAAGAAAAAAAAGGGAAAACCAAACAAGCATGTTCAAAGAAACAAAATTTGTACAGGAAAAACTTTCTACCTTAAAAGCTGTAACTAAAGGGGAGGTTGAAAAGTTCATGATTTTTGCAATTTGTCAAACCTTGCCCATGAAGTCTCATATACTCAGGCATTCCAGATGAAGGAAAAGCACTTGTCTGATACCTTGACATTTGTTGTCTACAATGCATGTTACACTTCTTGATCCATAACATCGCAGATGAAAGAGTAAAGCAGATGCCATCATAAATAACAACAGTCCACTGTGTCAGTAAGAGCTCCATGAGGTTTAGAAGCAGGTTCTTGATTACTGATTCATTTACATGCTGTTTAAAACAATGCACACGTAATGAAGTATATAGACTCTGCTTCACTTCCATCTAATTCCCTTGGCTTTTCTCACTATTGTAATTAATAGTGCACATAGAGTTATTGAAAAATCAGGAGTGTGTTTGTAGAGGAAAAAATCATAAAATTAGAGACAAACTATTTTCAAGCACTGGAGTAATAAATGACCAACACAGTAACTGTGAAGTAGCCAGCTCAGCAACAATTATTGAACAATTTAGCCTTTGAGAGACAGCTGAGAACTTCTCTAAGGCCTTCTGCTAGTAGCTTGGAGACTAGTATGAACTTCATAACGCCAATCAGTGACAGTGTTAACTGAGAGACATGAATGTTCCCGCAAATGAATTTGCATTTTTATTTTGTTCTTTGTTAAAGCCTTGTGTAAAAATAAACACAGAGGTTTCTCACCAAGACCAAACCTTGAGGTAACAGCATTGACTGACATTAACCAATGTTCCATAGATTTAAAGAATAAACAAGCCAATAATAAGTCAAATCCAGTTTTTTAATGAAAGGTGTTTTTTGTCCAGCAAACTACAAGCCTTTTATATATTATGGTGGAATAAATACAAGTATTCTAGCCTTTGCTAGTCGTTTAGTAAAATGAACTTATAGGTCCAACTCTTTAAGTTAAAAATTTTACAATTCACTAATGACAAGTTGTTACATTGCCTTCAAATGTTGCACAAGTTCTCTGTAGGGAACTTTGTTTGAACAAGCACAGCCAAAATACAAAAATTTGGAGAGAAATAAATGGCTCCCTATAAAAACTGTAAATAAAAACAAAAGTACCATAATTTGACAATTAAAGTAGTCCAATTTTTCTTTGATACACTCTGGCACCTCATAGATCACTGCCCCATAACTACACAAAGAAAAAACTTCTACTGTTCAAGATACAATGTAAGGGTTATACACAATTTATACACGACAATATCATGAACACAATTACCCAGTATGTTAAAGGCTGAGGTCATATCAGCCACCCAAAAGAACACATGAAACTTAACAACTTCAACTTGATGATGGACAGCAATTTGACCTTGTCTCATTCGAGTCTAAAATTACCAGTAAATGAGATATGGAAAATTTTAGTGAAGCATAACATTGAACTACGAGTCGGATGTAATTGTTTCAACCTTAAAGATATCTATTAATCTGATTTTTTGCACCACATTTTTAAAAAAAGGGAAGATTGGTTTTTTGAGGTCTTACCAACAAATTATTAAATTAGAATAAAGTTAATAAAAAACACATCTAAATATTTAAATAAATCTTATATTCCACCATGTGCTAAGTTTTTTTTCCCCAGGTTCAGAGAGAAAACTATTCCTCTTCCTTCATGAGATGATTTGCAATACCTAGTGCACCTCCAATGCCAAAGCGGACGAAGTTGTCTCCAATCAGAGGGCCAACCGCAAACAAGCCTGGTACCAGAACAGTCTCATAACTAAAGGGATTAATATTGATAGGATTCCCCTTGCTATCAATTTTCTTTGCAGGATTACTTCCAAGTTCACTAGTATTGACATCAGACAGGAAAGAAAGATCTGGAACTGCACCAACCAACACAAAAACATTTGAGACCTTCTGCTTAAAGAGGGTTCCATCAGCCTTCTTCAGAATGCACTCTTTGTCTTTACGAATCTCCACTAGGGTAGTCTTGGTGTAAGCCACATAGGAGGAATCTTTTCCATATGCTGTGGTCACCTCACCTTTGATCATTTGGCCCACTTTGTAGTACTCTGGGTACACCACACCAGGTAGCTGATTGTAAATGATTTTAGGATCATTTCCATTCCGGCGCACCACATGGATGACTGGGACACCCTTATTGCGCAGAGCTAAGACACAGTCAGCAGCAGATAATCCTGCCCCTACTACCAGACATGGGTCCATTGAATGTGCAATCTCACTAAGTTCTCCTAAATAACTGTCTATACGATCCATCTTGTGGCAGACAAATGGAAGGTTTTCTCCAGGAATTCCTAGCAGCTTTGGGACATTGTTTCCTGTGGCAAGGACAACATTGTATGCATGCACAACAAACAGTTCGGGCATGCTCGAAAAAGTCTCCCTAACACCTTGAATTTCCCAGCAGCCTTCTCTGTGAATGCTAGACATTCTGCAGTGGCAGTTAGTATAATCAGCAGGATTTACACGTTTGACTGACAACACCTTGGCATCATTCCAAAAGTTTGATGCAATGTTGGTATAATTGACATAGTCCTTGTAGTATTCTGCAATGTGGCTTGTTGTTGCCCGATCATAACTGTAACCATCACTTTTCACTCCATTTGTGACAAGATTACATGGTTTGCGCACAGTTGAAGAGCGATGAGCCCTTAACCAGTCTTGAAAATCACACCCTGGTAATTCAAGCCAGTTATTAAGGCTGAGGGTCAGCTGGGATCCCTGCATATGATGCCAAGATCCACCAGGGGGCCCACTCCCCATGACCAGATGTTTCACAGCTCTGTTTTCATTGTGATGCCACTTGAGACACGAACCTTGGTCTTTACCCAGGTCAGCATTGGGTCGTAGTAACTGGTCAAACAACAGGGCAACAGGATTTAAAGAGCGCCCTTCTAATCCCTCACTCAAGTACTCCAAATCCTAAAAATGTTTCAGACAAAAAAATTCGATATCACTTGCATTTAAAATAAATGAGATTTTCTCTTGCTATTTTCACTACATTACTAACTCACTGTTTCTTGTGATGAGAAAATGAAAATGAGAATGTGAGGAAATAAGTGTTTTTGAAAGACATCTCTAAACTGAAAAAACTATCATTAACCATCAATTATCAATGATCCAAATTATTCCATCACTGATCATTTCACAACTGACTTAATCAATCAGGCAGGAAATTGAGCCATTATATGCTGAAAAGGCAAGAAGGAAATCAAACTTCCCTCAAAATTGTTTGGCTAGTTTCATTTAATCTGTGGTTAAACTTACAGTGTCCAGCAGTGATTTTCCAGGTTCCTCGGACAGCTTCTGGTCAAGAATAACATTTGGATGCTGATGAGGAATGTAGTATGGTACATTTCCAGATAACAAATAGGACAGACTTAAAGCACTAGGACCATTTCCTGCAAAACAAAGAGGGTCAACAACATCAATTTTTTTTCAGATAATCAATACACAAAGATCATAAAATCATTTAACATATTAATTGTGCATATTACCCTTTCACCCAGGGATCTGACAGTAATTATGATCTCATCTAAAGCCACATTTATCTTTTTATTTTCTTTTACTTTTAACAAGACCCTATTTCCTTGTTGACAACTTTTACCATACTCATCACCCGCCCATTCTACAATGTATTGAAAATGGTAGGAGAGTTAACAGGCAAAAACACATTTTGAGGTATAAAGGTCAATTAATTCTTGTTTCTGATTTTCCATCTTAAGATTGGCAAATTAAAAAACTATGGTAATTTTGCATTTTCTTAGCATGGGGTGTGAATTCAAATGCATTGAAATAAACAAATTAAACTGATTTTTTTTTTTGTTTTCATTTATTTACAACACAAATCTTGAATACAAATAAGACAAAAAAATCATGCAGAGTAATTGTAGCAGTTGTTTTTCAGAGCATAACCAAGAAAAATAACCACAAATAAATCGCAGGCATAGTTTGCGTGCTGAGAAGGTTATTATTTTGCAAATTGTGCTTGCAGGAGGGAGGCCTACAATCTAAAACAACTACTAAGAAAATTAGCCAATCATTCAAGTCACTCATCACCCACTGATAACATGATGAAAGGCTGGAGAACCCTAATGCACGGACAACCTATATAATGTTTTAGGAATTCATGACTTGCATTGTTTGCAGAGATCAGTAGCCTTTGGGCAAGACATTGCTATTGGAGAAGCATTTGCCAACTGGATTGAAAAATATAAGGAAAAACAAAGATTCAGGTTCAGTAATACTGAAATTGTATTAGAGCCTATTTCCTAGATTACCTATAAAAAAAAATTTAAAAAAAAAAAAAAACACCTCTACTCTGAATTTGACAAATAAACTGTTGAAGTTTTCCTTGATTACACACTGCCCAGTTAGTAGCATTCTTGTGCAAAGAAGCTTGAAATAGATTACTGACTCTATGAGGCATGGATCGTGGGAACATAATTTGCACTCTGTCCAACAAAATGCACGCAATCTGATAATTACAATTTGGTCAGTCTTATCCTAGAAATGAATATAGCAGGATGAAGGGATGAATAAGATCCACAAATCTAGCCATGTATTTTAATTAGAAAAACTGCTACTTGAAAACTCGTGTGAATTGTCAGGTGTTGACAGTATCTGTTTACCTACATTTTCCTGAGAAAGACTCCATGCATATGTTATAATTCTATATTTTAATGAGGAAAATTCAAATGCAAGTAGAAATTCAATTTTATGTTTGAAATCTGGGCATTTTAGAACAACATATACTTACCTATCACCACTACTTCATATTCATCGTCACAGGAATACAGCGACATTTGAGTGACAGGTTCTTGTTCAAAGCAGACTACTGTAAACAAAAAGGGAAAATGTTATTACAGTGCTGTTGCTTTTGGGATTATTTCCGAGCTAAATTTGCAAAAATATAAGCCTCCAAAAACTTGATACAACGACCTCACCCTACAGCTTGCCTGTTCTCATAAGTAAGGTAGAGGGTTTTGAAAAGATAACAGCTTGTATTGGCCTAGAACAACAACAAATGAAATGCAGCAAATAGCGAGTGTATTTCCATTCGTTACAATGAATCAGCAAAGGTTTTACTTTGCATAAATTAAGCTCCAAGTATGTAAACACAATATCGTGACTCCCATTTTAATCTTGATTTCCAACAAGAAATCTTTTGAAAAGTTAAGTTGAAAAATATTAGAACTTGAAAATTGTCTTCAAATATGGCGAAGTAATGAAATCCTCAGCTTGAATAGGGATTTATCAAGACGGAACACCGAATTAAATAATTGATTGCTACTAATTTGGTGGTTAGAATATTGTAGTGACCTTCACTGAATTCAAAATAATATTTAGTCGAAGTCTGTATAAAGAGGTAAATTTATATTAAACGAAGTGCTGGCACTTCAGCAAGTTCAAAAACTCTCGTAAGTGGTATTATGCCTAACCAGCATGCGAAGAATTGGGAGTTCGTCGTCGTAATTCGAACGGAGAATTTTCGGCAAGCCAATGTGAAAAAACGAGAATCATTCGGAAAAGATTTCTCCAATAACAACAACCCGTTGATGCTGTTCATTTTCTCGTTACATAAGATATCAAAATAAAATGAGTGAAATAACTTCGAGTCTGAATCGTGGAAACGTTAAAGAGAAGTGAAGCTGCAAAAAATTTAAGCCGAGTAAACTACGGAAGCTAACATCTCCTAAAACTGAAAGACCACGTGTGATAGCCGAAAAATTGCTTTCGAAATTATTTCAAGTTCCCTTTAGCACAGTTACCGGAACTGCTCCTCCCAAATCCTACCTCGCTGAGTACGTCCGCGAGCTTCGACGGCGACAAGTGTAAAGATCTTTCCTCACGAGATCCAAATCTTTAGTAACGCAATCATTACTCGACTGTTATTCTATTTATAGCTGTTCACGTGGACGTGTTTTTACTGTGGTCAAAGCGATGGATAGGAGTTGTAGCTAAAACTCCAAAAGATACATTTACGCCTCTCCTGAGCGTCAAATGTAACTACGAGTTATACCTGACTCATGGCCGCGAATACAGTTGTGGATTACTGCCTCACAAATGAATGATCATCTAGTTCCCAGACTCTCTCTTTAATGTGAATAACAAATAACATTGAAGAACGTTGGGAACCCGAAGACAATATTAATCATAACATGACCTTTAAAAGTTAATCTTTGTTCCTAAAGAGAAGGTTCATTACAATCATTCTTAGAAGCTCTTTTGAAAATTCCTATTGCCACGAATGAAATATGTATGTAGGTAAAATTTCCGCACAGCTCCTTTCTACATTATGCGTTCAATTCAGATTTGTTTAACAATAGTTTGGGGCTGTGCGGAAATTTTAACGACCATTTTCCTAGAAAATATGTCATATTCCTACGCATGGGTATTTAGTTGCGCTGTCTCTTTGGCTAAATTTCAATAAACTTCTGCTTAAAGTTACCTGAACCATCGTCTTCACTTCGCCAGAGGTTGCTGAACTTTCCGGGTCGTTAGGTTGGCAGAAATTGCTAGCATATTTTGCGTATCACACCTTTACATGGACCTTATTCTAATTGAGTATGTTTACAATTATTACAAAGACCTATTGGGTCAGGGGGAGAAAAGAAGGCTACCAGAACTTTGGACAATTAATTGAATCCTCGTGACTAAATTCCTGATATAAATATTTTACGAAAATATTTGTCACCGTCTCTTCCTCCAGGACAAACAGTTATCGCTAATCCAATCCAAGCAGTTGATGGAATCCTACATATTTCACTCTACAATTGAATACAGCTGAAAAGTTCGATTGTTGTGGCTATTGCCACTGCGTCTCAAAGCCATTGTACTTTCTTAATTTTCTTCCTTCTCTTTTACCGGTTTTAGTAACCTCTACCCAGGGTGATCAAGTGATTTGAAAAATATGTTCTTACCAAAAACACTGGTCAGAGCCTAAACAAGGTAACCATTCATTGGATGAAATAGTAAAGTTGTTACATTCCATGCGACACCTCAATGATATCACCCTTCTTAGTCTGTGGTTTCCAAGCAAGAGATTTTTTTCGAAGTGTCAGACACAAATTAAATTTGCAGTACCATTCAGGAATGTGCCATATTGGTTGCGCTTTCCGGAAGATTTATTACTGACATTGAACAAACTTGGCGACTTAACAAGACTTTGTTTTTAATGACCTTTGGGCTTTCTTAGAAACCATGGGAAATTGCTTTTCGGCAACTTTGAAGTAAAAGAATGGAAAAAGCTGATATAAAAACTGCACTGGTCTAAATTGCCTTCTAGCTACCGGTGTGTTCCGGTTCGGTCTCAGTGATATTTCACACTCGCGCTGATTTGATTAAGAGGTAAAATTTCCGCACAGCCCCATCCTACATTATGCCTTCAGTTCTTGGATAGAGAAAACAATGACAAAAACAATACATTGCCATTGGGAAACAGATTTGTTTTACAATAGTATGGGGCTGTGCGGAAATTTTGCCGAGATCATTAATATCAACAAGTTGTTTGATATATTGACACGTTGAACAAATTACCCAAACAGATGGCTCAACGACGATCTGTGTGATGCGAACGTTCTGCACAGATGGAAACTCCAATACCAAGTAGTAAATTTAGAGACGCTGTGCTCGGAATGAACTGTCATTGTGCAGAATGCCTATTGTTCTTGCGTAATTAACTTAAATATAGATCTGTATTATTAGTAGCGAAGCGTGATCTGGAGAGCTTTGATTGTTCAAAGATTTCGCAGGCTTTCCTCCTCAGGGAATATTGCTTTAACTCATTGCTGTTCAAGGCGGAGCTAAGAAAAAATAGCTTAGATAGTTATTGTTTATGCTCTTGTTAGAAAAAAATCACACATTACGTGTATGTGTTACAAGCTGGATGAGCGTTCGATTTTGAAACCGTCCGTTACATTTTCATCTCTTTCTGCGTCTTGTTCAACAAACACTTTGGTATTATCATTACCCGTTTATGGTTCGATTTTCATCGGAAAAATCCACCTGAACAATTCTTCTATGATAATAAGGACGTAATGAAGTCTTAAAAGTCACTTTGACACTTGTTTCTTCGAAACGAAAAAAAAGTTACACACTGTGTTAAGTTGAAATCACGCATTGATTTTTTCTACTGCCTTAGTGTTGGTTTTATTCCCAATGAGCCTCCCGTGAGTTGTGTTTTCATTATATCCTTTGAATTTTTTCTTGGAGGTCAAAGCCTCGAGAAGCTTAGCACCCCATAGGGCGTTTTGCCGCTTTAACCCTTTAACTATAGATCAAATTTGTAATTCTCCTTATTGTCAACCGTACAATTCTTATAATGTTAGTTCAGAGAATTTAGTATTGGATCAACTAATTATCCCCAAATTGATATTTTTCTTTATTCTCATCACTTATCTGGTTGATATTGTATTGATATTGTAAGGAGAAATTCTGTCTTGGTCACTCATGGGAGTTAAAGGGTTCGGCGCGGCGAGGGAGGCTCGGGTGGATCAGGATCCATCACCAAAAGCGCTTACAGAGATTTAACGCGAGTCAACCCCAGCCTCGTTCTCACGTGTGCGCGGTTGCATTTCAAATATGGCGCTGGGAACTGTAAAAAGGTCTATTGACAATGTTGTCAAGAGGTATTTTATATTATGGTTGCTGAAGTGGTCTAGCTTGCTTGCGCCAGTCTGGGCCTGATTTTCTTTTCATATTTTCTACCTGGTAGTATTATTATGGAATATTTTGGCGTCAGGGAGAAAAGTTTCTCATAATGTAGTTTGAGAAAATGTATAATTGTGTGTACATAATAGTCACAACAAAAGCCAACGAGAACGCAGTTGACTATTTAAATTTGTTGTGTGGGAGAAATCACCATTCTTCGAGAAATTTTTACCTCCGTTGATGATAACATGCAGCAGTTCATCCTAACTTCTGTCACATCTTTGTGCTAGGTTCAGCAGGAAAGGAAGAACACACAAGCATAACTATCGTATTCATTTTGGTGGCTTATTTCTTTGTTTTAGTTTCTTTTGTGAAATGAAATGTGATTGAATGTCTTGTATTGGCAGCAGCATCATAAATAGACTGCTGGCAAAATGCTCTGCTCTCGACTTGGAGCAAAATCTATATAGACGAAACAGCACACATTTGTGAGACAAGATACAAGAAGTCTACACCGCTGAAGATGTCTGATCGAGTCAACTTTCTTTTTTTCGATTATCACCGGCTCGAAACAATTTAGGGCTGCTGTGTTGCTCTAAATCAGTTGTTTCGAACTTTAAAATGATAATCGCCAAGGCAAAGATTTTTGTATCTTTCTCTGTGGTCGTTAAGTTGTTTCAGGCTGTGAAACCATCATGCCTATGGACGTCTCTATTCTTTTTAAGGCCGCAAGTGAAGCAGGCAAACGTATCGTCCCTCATTCCCAGCTTTGTCAGTCACCAGCGCCCAAGAAAAATGTGAGAAAAGAAGACCTACTTTATTCTTCCTGAGGCACAAACTTTCAACACTTGGACTAGTGGCTTGCTTTTCAGCGGAAGAGAAGCGACGTTAACCTCCTAGGCAGTGAAGTTTTTCACTGATTAGAAAGTTGTCGTGGTTTTGTTTAGTTTTTTTATTATTATTATTATTATTATTATTATTATTATTATCATAATTATTTTGTCTCGGCAAGATCTTCAAAATTGTCACGATTCCTTAAACTTCCTAGTTGGCCAATTCCTTAAAAAAATTCATAAAAAATCTTCAAGTTTTCACTCAGTTAATTGACTGGTTACGTAACATAAAGGACACTATGCACGTTTTTCACGCAATGATAAATTCACAAATCACGCTTCTAAAAATTTCACGCGTAACCGAATATGTTTTCGCTCTAAGCACGTGCTATGTCTTCATATGCTATCCTCATAACAGATAATCTGAAGTTTTCCGTCAAGCACTCTAAAAATACTTGTATCTATATCGGTTTAGGCAATATTTAGAGTCTGGCGATGTATGTTTGATTTTAAAGAACAACTTTTTGCTCCCTGGACCAATTTAAAACAGTCCTCACATTATGAAAATATTTGTTGAATTGATTTTGCATGCGTACTTAGAAGTAGTCAGAGATTTCCGTTTGTAACCGCTGAAAACTTATACTCCATTCACACCAGCAAAACACGAATACGGTTAGTTATACCGGATTTGGCTGAGAGAAAATCAGAAACAGAAAATTTGAATTTCCTGATAGGGTTCAAGTAGTTATTCACTTATTTTCATATTTTCAATATGCTAAATTTGAAGGCGAGAGACATCAGTCCTGCGGCTTCTACGAAGAAGGGCATTTTAAACTGTGTTCAACAAAACAGCTTAAACGGCTGGATTAATAAAGAGCCGGCGTAAAAGTGCCCTATTACGTGCAAGGAAAGGTTCTGGTCTGGCTGAACTTGAACCAAACACTCTGCCGTCTCTAATTACCACACTGGCTTCAATTTTCAATTCTGATAACAAATCAAGTACATTCTTTCATAAGAATGTTAGTAACATCCCTTTTTAGTACGTGATGATGTCGAGGGATGAGTTAAAGATAAGAACAGTTACCCACCGTGAGCTAGCTTCTTTCCGTGTTAGAAGGCGTGAAAGCGATCCATTCAAGGGCAAAGCAGCTGCTCAAGTCAAAGGAAAAAACCTAGTAACCTGAACACTGAAGCTCTTGTCATCCCCTAAGGTCAAATATCTTTCTCGTTCCGCTTTATTGGACAATTATATAAATGCGTCAAATTTTACTGCTGAAGTATTTAGAACCTCATTGTTATAATTAGTAGGTGCTTAGCAATCACTGAGCAACAAAAGGTTATGCACGTTTAAGCAGCTTATCACGGGTTTGATTCCAAAATATCACGAAAATAGCTTAAAAACTGCTGATAAGTTTAAAACATCAACTATCTTAAATACGCAAAACTTTAGACGGTTTGAAATGCCTGGAATCTCATTTGGTGGCTCTAAAACCAATTGGGCCGCAATATTCATTACGTCATTGGTCAAATATAATTA